AATATCCTTTTTAAAAAAAGCTGTTTGGCATACAACTCTCTTTCTCTAACAGTCCACCGTTCTGCAGCTAAGCAGCATTTGGTTTAATATTGCTAAGGACACATCCCTACTGTGCATATACAAACCCACACTCTCCGCTCAAATCACGCTGTCCCCAATCAGCCTCACAGAGTTGCTAGCAGAGTTGTAGGCCTTGGTTTTACACCGCTACTTTTGTTGTTATCCTCCCTCATACTTAAACAGTTCATTTTCATCTGGTCACCTTCTCATAAGATTTGTTGAAAGTATAACATAAGCAGATATTGCCAATAATGTATCAAGCCAACAGCTATTCTGAAAATGGCTCAGAGAGGCGTAGAGCACCAGAGGCTCAGTCTGTGTAAATATACCCACCCTCAGTTTTTAACCAAGTTTGTTTATCCTCTCAACCTGTCATTGGAACAGCTTGTGTGTCTGAACGTCCGACTCTTTTTTTTTGCCTTTTTGTTTAAGCTCATTGCACCATGCACATCTGCTGTTATTAAATATGCTCTAAAACATCTTAAATCATGTACCGTAGGATGAATCTACCTCCATACAGTACCACGTAGTTTTGCCAACTTTCAATATGCTTTGAAATTCAGTACAATGTACAATCCTTTTAACCATATAAACTTACAGTATGTAATACCCAGGAATTGAAAAAACATTTCTGGGGCCGCCTGGTAGCTCACCTGTTAGAGCTGCAACCCATGTAGCAAGGCTCAGTCCTTGCTGCAGCGGCTATGGGTTCGGGTCCGACCTGTGGCCCTTTGCTGGGTGTCGTCCCCTCTGTCTCTCCCTCTTCCCTGTAATCTCAGAAGAAAATATATTTTGAAAAAAGAGAAGCATTTCTACTTGAGACCTATTGGTGGTGGTGGTGGTCTTCTTCCAAATGTCGTTTATATTTGAGTTTATTGGAAGGAAAAAGGAATACATTTCAGGAAATACAGCCAAGTTTGTCATTTTACAGGGTTTTTTGTGTGCCAAATTGTTGTTTGTTTTTTGAATGGGTTAAACATACTGGGAAACGGTGTTAATTAGTGAGGTTAAGGGGTGCTGGTAGAGGGCTTTTGTCACCAGGCTAGCTGTTTCCCCTATTTTAAGTCTTAACTAAGTTAGCCAACTTCTGGCTGTAGCTTATTTTTTACCATACAGACATGAGACTGGCATCAATTCTCTCACATTACTCTCAGCAAAGAAAGCAATTAAACTCATTTCCCAATCTGTCTAACTCTGAGTTATTTTTAACTAGAAGGGATATGTCTGTAAAACATCTTAGACAAGTACAACTAGATTTTAAATCTAAATATAATATTATTACTCTTGGTTAGATCTTCAGTTTTAGCAGTGAGACACGTAGTTGAGTCAATTTATGTTCCCTAATTAAAGCTCCCATCTGCTATTCATGTACTTTTAAGGAGTGAATTATTACCTTGTCTATAGATGCCTCTGTAGGTAACAGATGGACCTTAAAAATGTCATCACCAAAAAACGATCTGCCTTGAAGAAAGGGTGGGACATCAATTTTAAAAATATTCCAATAGCATAAAATCATGACCTTTTGTATATGTTAATCTTGACCCATATTGTGTAGATTGTGTTAATATGTTCAAGGATCAAATACAGCTGAGGGGCTATTCTTACACCAAGTACTAAATAAGGAAAGATTTCAAGTCAATGTCATCAAAATTGAAAGTTTTGGGGGCAAAAAAGGCAAAGAGCTTCCCTCAGGACAAGAAAGCAAAAGCCATGTATGCAGTTTAAGGTATGATGGCCCAATGAATGGATAATAAGGCTGCAGAGGCAGTCTGGACAGACGGTCAGTGATCTTCCCGCAGGGAGAATTGAAGTTATTTTACAGCAGATTGCCTCACACTGCCCACACAAGCTAATTATACAGACTATTCATGCGAGTCTTGTATGGCAGAATTGTATAATTACAAAGACCCTGTTCCTGTGATAATGTGCTATGTGAAAAACTGATGGAGATTTTGGTTTTACAAGTAATATGAGCCCATTAGGTGATTTTCTTTCATACACAGTACATTATCCATATTTCACATTAAGATATTTTACTTACACATGTAGTCATTTTATTCTGCATTATGCAATGTCTAAAAATGGACTTGTCCTTTAAGATGACCTCTTCAGTAATCCCTTTACATGAGAGTAATCTCAGTAGCTCTTCTGGGAAATTGGGCTTTATTTTTTAAGTGTGCAAAGTGAGGCAGAGCTTCTGTATGTGCTGTATCTGATGTGGAGGTGAAAAAGGCCATTTCATTAGATGAGTCTTGACATAAAGTGGTGGCAGTGGACTGTTTGTGTTAGGCAAAAACAGGAAGTACGTCCCTGACAGGACTCAGCTCAGCTTGCAGAACAAGGTCAGTGGTTCCTTTGAGCACAACCATGGAGACTTTACAGCCTCGCTCAGCACCACGTCTAAGACTGGCAGGCAGGACTGCCGGACAGGAAAGGTGACGAGGGCAAATCAACAATCTGAACACACATATGAGCAGAGACAGATCTCCTAACTCAAGAACGCTGAAGTGCATGCACACCAGTCAAACTTTAGGGAAGCAATTTTAAAAGTCCTTACTTCCTTTTTTGAAGTTTTCAACTTTCGGGGCACAGTGCAGTCAAGTGCAGCCACCTTATTTATTATTTTGGACAAACACTCTCCCACCATCGCATGAATGAGGCCAGGTGCCATACCAGTCAACACAGTTGGCGTTTACAGCGAGGGATCACATCTTTGTTGCTGCACTGTGACTCCTGCAGGAATTCTTATCGTTTTCTCCCGGGGAAACTATTAGTCTTCGGAGAAAAACAAGCGGATGTTGACTTCATGTATGTTAGAGGAGGCAGATGTTGGTTTACACCATAGCCAGGCCAGTAGTGTGGGTCAGTGGCTGCAATGAGTTGCTGTTGCCTGTGTTTTGTAACAAACAAAAATGCTGGCGAAGAACAGCCTTACTGGTTGATGATGAGGGTCATGATGGCAACATTTGTTTGACAAGGTGTATCTCAACCGCCTCGAACCACATGCAATTGATGTCTTGTATGATATGGTGTAGTAGATTAATGGTTTACACACAGGTCTTTCCCTGAGACCTTACTGCATTTCCTGTAATTCTAAATATTTCCCTTGGTACAGTTACTGCAATTGAGCTGTACTGATAGACCCGGTGGCTGTTTTTCAATCTACTTGCAGGATTCCCACATGGAAAGGCAATCTAAGACTTATGTAATGCACACCTGGTAGACAGGTGCAAAGAAGAATGAAATGATGTGAAAGAAAAGGTTGAATTCCTGCACACTGTCAGCACTGAGTTTATTAGACACGTTGGTCATGGACATTCATCAGTTGTGTCTCTAATAAAGTCAGTGCAGACAGTGAAATGAAATCCATTTGAAATATTCATAAACCACAGTGATAGCCCAAAATGCAATTTTTTCAGTTCACTATATTTTGAAATATTTTTTCAATAAGTCTTTTAAAAAAGCCTGGTTTGCTTGGTTTGGGACTTGAGGTTGAAGTGAGAGAGCACTTGCTTGATCAGTTGTTATCTCCAGTGGCAGTCTGTTTATAAACTATACAGATCTTGTTCAAATCTTCCAGACATCAGCAGTAAGCCCGAGGTGCACATGAGGCAGTAGGCCAGGGGAATCGGCAGGACAGTGGAGGAATTTTTTTGTTGTCAAGATCATTGCTCTGCATTTGTTATCAGCTCACTGGTAGGAGGGAGTGCTGCACAATATTATCTAAAATGTATAACAACTATTCATTATAAACATAGGTACATGCCCTTTTCTCATGCTGGCTTTTTTGTTTGTCTGGATTCATTATAGTTTGAGTAATATTTGTCTATTTAAAGGCTTATCTGACACCAAAACACTATGATTTAGAATGCTCACATTTTACAACTCCAGGTTGAGAATCTTAAACTCTATCATATTTCACTGGTACCTCATGACTGAAGCTCAATAACGCAGCCCCATGTGGAGTTGTTTTCAGTCTGAAACCTCACTTGCACCCTATATTGGCCACGAAAAACTATTTTGTGCCTATCTTTTCCCATACACCGATCAGCCATAACATTATGGACCACTGACTGGTGAAAAACAGTGAAAAAGAAAACACTTATTATCTGGTTATCATGGCACCTGTGGAAAAATGGGCAGCGTGAGGATTTGCGGCGTGAGCGACTTTGACAAAAGCCAGATTGTGATGGCTTGACGACTGGGTCAGAGCATCTCCAAAAGTGCCGCTCTTGTGTTCCCGGTCTGCAGTGGTCAGTACCTATCAAAAGCGGTCCAAGGAAGGAAAAGAGGTGACCACCAAGCTGTGGTCATAATGTTATGGCTGATCGGTGTATAAATGCCATTACACCGACAAGCCCTACATCCCCAACCCAGTCTGCTGCTGCTGCTGCTAATATTTGCTCTGCTGCCATTTTGATGTGGGCCCCTCAGACTGGTGTCCAGTTTTCATGTAGGCCCCATGTGAGTCTGTTTGGACTGGTGGAGGTGTGGGGCAGGTTAGGAATTGGGCCATTCTTGGTAAAAGAAAAATATTATTCTTACTGTCATTTACAGTAAACATGTCTTCTTGTAATAAACACATTTCAGAAAATCTTCCAGCAATAGAAACTGAAGAGGGAACTCGAGAGAAAGAATTTAATGAGCTGCTGATAATGTGTCAGAGTCTCAGCAAACTAAAAAACAACAAAATCAAATCAAATTTTAACAGTTTTCTTAATATTTAAAATATCAATTTACTTCTTTTTTTTTTTTTTTTAATGAAGCATAAAAAAATAATGAGCCATAATTTATTGCACTAATTGTAGTGCTGAGAAAACATTTCAGGCTTTCATTTCCCTCTTGCGCTCTAAAACACCATTTTATGACTGATCCCAGTCACACAGATACATGCTGACAGCACGGCACTGATATGCTAAATATGTTTTCAAGCACACGTCTCAGTGTTTTTGTATTATACTTTTTATTTTTTCTCATATGAAACAAATCAATTCTTCCAGTGTCTTTGAAGTGTGAAATGTATTTTTATCATGAATTCTCACAGTACATTCATTTAATGTTGATCTGAAAGAAAACATCTTTGAACTTGGCACTTAGAAAACAACCACAAAGAATTGTCACCTTTATTCATTTAGAACAAAATTTACAAAGCCATTCAAAACAGTCATTTTTTTTTTAACACTTTTATGTTTTTTAAACTCAACTGTTGAGAATATTCAAAATACACTTTTTAATGTTGCTTCTCTCTCTCTCTCTTTGTACTTACAAATATGTACATTAAAGTCTCAGTGTCTTGTCATGTGTCATCCCACTGACTCTTCATCACTGGTAATAAAAATCCTTTTTTAGTGTTTTATTTATATCTCTTCACACTGTTAGCACTCAGTTTAGCTCTCCGCTATTCTGTTTGAGCTCGAGTGTCTGTGAATGTTCAGCGTGCTCAGATGGATGTCCCATGGCTGGGCTCACTGGGTTTTGGGATGGGTCCTCCTGGCACTGGTTGGTAGGACATTGGCATGGGTGTCTTGACTGGGCTCTGCCGGAAGAGACCCCCATTGGGCGCCCTGTGTTTGCAGCGGATAGAGGGCATGGTGGCACTGCTGAGGGGCAGGGGCAAGGTCCTGCCAGTGGCCGCGCCCAGTGTCCTTCCTGCCCCATGACCCTCCTGGAGGAAGGTGGTCACAGAGAGCCGTGGCGGCCCCCGATGGACTGGGTAGTCCCGAGCAGACAAGGCCTCTAGGGACTGGCTGGGCTGCATGCTGCCAATGTCCAGGGCAGAGATCTCGATAGACTGGCCTGGCAGCTGCTTGTGGGCCAAGTCGTCGTCCAGGAGGCTGTTCAAACGCTGGTGAACCTGTTCCAGGTTCACCTCTTTGTCCTGTAGATAGATGGAAAGAAGCCATAGAGAGTGTATGGAATAAAAGAAGCCAGGAGAAAGGATGGTGAATAGAGGTTTTAATGGAAGGGAGGGCATGAATATAATTAAGGATGACCGTGATAAAGAATAAAAGTGAAAATGAATGTGCAGTGAAGGGGGGTTAAGAGGTTAAAAGAAAGAATGGGATGGAGATAGAGAGAGACAGGTTACAACGGTTGTTTCATCATCACCATCATGGCCAGTTTACATGCATTGCAGTCTACTATATTACTATTCAGTTAGAGCAAGTTTAATGGACAGCTAGTTTAATGGACAGCTATTAATGTTCACTTGAGGATACTGAAATAATGCACTTGGTTATTTCAGCTTTATTCAGGAGACCCAAATATATAAAATAATATGCTGGAATTTTTTTTTCAAGCAGCCAACATCAAGAGAGACATTACCTTAAAACACTAAATCTAAAATATGGGCTCGTAAAAGGTAATGTCTCCACTTCTGAAATGAACTTAAACGAAGATGTCTCTTCATGCAGAAGTGTTTAAATTTTCTCCACAATTAGGTGACCACACATCTACAGTGGGTGACTCTTGCATGAAGAGCATCAGCTGTTAACAAGACAGGCTCCAATGGTTGCACAAATCTGATGAATCACACTTTGTGAGGCAATACAATTTGAATGAAGACAAAGTAGTTAATGCTACTTAACTGAAGAATCTTTTAGAATATTCCTTTTTTTTTTCAATGAGATAACACAAATATGCGAGGAGGAGAGGGAGAAGCCAAATGAGAGCATTCGATTATTTATCAGATACATTTTGGCTGCACCCTGCCCTCCGTACAACAATATTTTCATCATCATGCACCCATGTAAGTCGAGCCACACTGAAGACACACAGAACAAAAAAGCCACATAACAGGAGAGACCATGGGGTGAGATGACAGATGAAACAACTACAGTCTACCCCTGCCCGGCCCCATGCCCCGCCCCTTCGCCCTGACACAGCCAATGACCATCCAGTACAGTCAGGCCTCTCTCCTGACCTGTGTCAAGAGCCTCGGCCTCCTCCCAGTTTCTCTGTCTGTCTGTCCATATGTCCCGCCTCCCTTCTGGTGAAGCGCTTATGTCATTATATGTCAATGGACCAGAAACCCTTTCCAGACCGTAATCCTTAGTCACCTGCTGAAGATCATAGAAAACGATACATAACCAAGATGGTCCCAGTTGTATCCGGACATTGACATATAATTGCAATTAGTTACTAGTTAGGTAATAAAAGGAATAACTCAACACTTTGAGAATACTCTTATTCGCTTTCTTGCTGAAAATTGGGTAAGAAAATCTGTACCACTCATGCCTGTGTGTTAAGTATAGAGCTGAGAGGCTGTTTCTCTAGAGAAAATGTTAGGCGACTGGCAACGGGAGCACTTCCTCAGCTTATTGGGCATAAAAACTCTGCTGGTTAAATCATCAGTACAAAAGATGAACAACTGTTAGAAAATATCATGTTCTTTGTTACAAACCTGTATACATGAAAACACAAGGTGATACTGTACATTTATTGTTGCCACTGTGAGGTTGCCAGGCAACTAGCAGAGACACTCCATAGAAGTATTTAAAACAAGGAGGGCTTGCTGTTCCCCCCTGCTTGCTATGCTTAGCTAAGCTAACCATCTTCTGGATATGGCTTCTTATTTAACAGGGCAGTTGTGAGTGGTATCAATCTTCCATTCTATCTCCTCACAAGAAAGCAAATAAGGCTATTTCTCAAAAGCCGAACTATTTCTTTAAATGGCTACTGTGTTCAGGCTTGCGGTGGGTTTGGTTGTTGTTGCTGTCATAATGTCCACATACTGTATATTTGTGCTTTCATGCTGTCGGCGATGCTTAGAGCAATTTAAATAAATAATCCACCCAAATCTTTTGAATATGAAACACTTGCTCCCTGCAGGCTTGAAAGGTAGCTGTAAAAAGTTTAAAGCAGCTGTTGTGGTCAGCTCGAATTCAAATTTATTTTGTTATTGTGTAATTGAAAGGTATTCAATTAAACAATGACATAAACTGAGAAAAACTGCACCTCCTTTTGTTCAAGCTTTAAAAATGTGGATTTTAAGAGACTGCAATTTCTGCTTAATTACTTAAATTATTCTATTTTAGGTTTGCAACTGACATTTTTTTTGATTATTCGATTATAAAATGTCAAAATCCTATGTTCAAATGTTGTTTTGTCCAATAAAGAGTCCCAAATACAAAGTTATTCCATTTACAGAAAAGCAGCATTTGAAAGGCTGCTGTTTTTGCTTGATTAAACCGCTCTAACAGCTCCAAGATTATCAAAATTGTTGCCAAATAATTTTTTGTCAATTATTTCTGCTCTTATCTCTTTTAAGCAATTATTATTATTTTCTTTTCATCAACTAATAATTGTCTTTCGGCATTGAGAATACAGACGGACAGCAGTAACCTTTCACAGTTTTGCTTCAAACTGACAGAGGGTGATTGTTTAATGCTCAAAAGATTTTGGGTGGAAAATTGCTTCAAGACATGTCTACAAACACGATAATAATGACACACAACCATGAATATACTCAAACACTTCTTATCTGCTTTAAATAATAAGACAGTGATGTTTCTCTGTTGTGAATCTCACATGTCGTATGTGGTTATTATGAGAGCGGCTGCACACAAAGACTGAAATAGAAATAAACAGCAGTAAGTCAAACTCTCATGTGCACCAAAAATCGACATGAGTGGAGTTTGATTTACTGTGTGTTTTTTCAGGACAGGACTGGGTCTTTAAATGGGTGTCCTCAGCCAGTGGTTTTTATTGGATTTGTTGGACTGTCAAGTAAAACAGGCAGGTCATGGCTCGGATTCTTTGCTATCTGCTTTTGCTCACACTTTAGTTTAGGGATCCATGTCAAGCCTTATTTGTCTGGACGCCTCATGCAGAGGGGCTGCCCAGTCGACAGCAGCGAGATGAAGTCAGAGCTCTAAAGCATTAAGACTTGAATGGATTAGCTAAAGAGAGCTATTGTACAACTGAAGCACTCATTGTCTCAGAAGTACAATTTTCAGTGTGTGGTTTTGAATTTGTAAATAACGTTATATTTACTTTTATCCTTCCAGCTGCGGTTCTCTCACATGAACACCTGTGACTCTGATTCTTTGTTCAGGCCAAAATGTAGGCAATTCATAATTTGTACATGTTGTATGAGAGAGAAGCCTCAGAAGTCCCTAACAAAGCACCCCAACCTCTCTCCCAACATGAGAAGGAATGAGTAGATTGATCACATGATGTCTGGACTATCATCAGGGGCACACCTATTATAACTGGGTGTACTGCAGCTCTACTAAATCGGGGCTGGCGTCAGCGCCTGCTGGATCCATAAAGTAGAGTGTGGCAGTGGCATCTCTGGGCAGGACCGGGGGGCCCGGGGGTCTGGGTCTCGACCGGGGCCTTGGTGGGGCAGGGGGACCCGTGGAGGCCACCATGGCCCGGTTCTGGGTTAGCAGGCTTGGGACTGGGCCCTGGCCCGACGAGTTGTCAGTGGTCACCTCTTTGGGCTGCTCTCTCCGGCAGGGGTTGCTGTTCCACCAGGTCTCCAGGGCGGCCACCAGGAGGGCCAGCAGCAGCCCGGCAGCCAGGATGCAGAAGACGCCGGCAAAGCTGTGGAGACGCAGCGCCCGTCCCTCTGGCTGGGCGTCTGCGTGGCTCTGCAGGTCACAGCGGCCTTTCATTGGCCACCATTTCTGCTTTAGGATGTCCAGGTCACCTTTTTCCTGAAGTTCCAATATCCTGTGAAAGAGAAAGACAAAGTTTTTCACTCACAGAAGGTGCACAGTTTCATGTAATAACACTACAAGACAAATCCTTCAATAGCATTGATTCAGACTGTGTTAAATGCTGGCTAATCAAATTACAACAACTGAGTGGAGAATGGAAAATTAAATAATTGTCATAGACAGAATAAGAGAATCAATATGAGAGGGCTCTGAATTACTGTAATTACATGATGATACTGTGTAGTTCATGAAGTAAAACTAATGAACAAACAAAAAAAAACCGTTCGGTTAATGTACTGCATTAACATTAATTGCTCATTAAAGACCTGCAGTCAGTAAAATGCTATTAAGGGCTGCAGTTTGCACAGCAGCAGACTGTAAGATATTGTTTGTATTGTTGAAACAATTTCTAACTGATAACAAGAGCTAAAGGAACACTTTTATATAAACAAGGCAAAGAAAAACAATCGCAGCTTCAAGATTAATTGGCTTCATATCAAATTGTATGAGCGTGGAAACAACGATGATCAAATACAACATTCAGCCCATTAGTTAGCGTACAGGGAGGAATAGATGGATGTTGTGGAGGAGAATGATGACGGCTGAGTACAAGCAGAGGCGAGACAGTGAATCTGTCCCATCGGAGAGGTTAGCTTTCTGCACAGTCATTATTCAAGCTCTTCAATGGTGACTGGCTCGTATGTGTTTGTGCACAAGCCTGCACACTGTGTACACACAGCTGCCAAAGCCTTTGACATTTATACACATCAATCCCAGATGCCTTTTTAAATATTCACCATTTGTTCTGCAAATCATGTATTTAAGATCTTTCACAGATGCATTGTAGTTTACAAGGTGACCAATTTCAAATGACATTTGGCGCTGACTTTGTATTTTACATGGAGGAGAAAGTTTGCTGTCCTCATATGAAATTCACTCCTATTAATCTTGTAAATACTGCACTGAAAAATATATATTTTCAGCATATGTTCTGTCTTGTGTCTGGGAGAAACAAACGCAAAGGGCAGCCTCTTCAAGAGAAACTGTGAAATATGTTCATGTTGAAACACTTTTAATTGTATCTAGATCAGTCAACGTTAATACTATAACTTCGGTTTATTCCAACCTGGGTTTTATCCCTGTCTTTCATTATTTCAATCTCCAGCCATCTGTTCTGACGCTTTAATAACGTTGCACTCACCAAAGTAATTGCTGAGATGTGGAAACCTTGCTAAAAAAGTGAGGCAAAAAAAATACGAGCATTCAGACGATCATTCACATCGTGAACTAACCTTCGGGTTAGTCAAACTTGTTTAGAAGAGAAAAATGCAGGCGACATCACAGTATAAAATATATACCAATGTACGTACTTCTGAGAGAAGAGGTCTCTATAAGGACTTCCGTGCTGCAGGGCCATGCCGTAGCCTCTGGTGCTCATGCTGTTTCCTGCTACAGTCAGTGTGCAGTCGTCATCTGTCAGAGCAGCGTACTCTACCACCGCCATGTCCCACAGAAAGGCATATGACTCTCGCTTTGTCTGGATAGTTCAGCAAAAGTTCACACAACACACACACACACACGCACACAAACACAAGACACAGACACACACAGGATAAATACATCAATTATGTTTTTGAACTAAGGATGTCCCAATCAAGTTTTTTTTAGCCCATGATCCGAGTCATTTATTATCAAACATCTGCCGATACCAAGTCTGGCTTTTTGTTGGGGGGACTTTTGTTGCTCTTGCAGTGGTGTGTTGAGTGTGGGCTCTCTCTCTCTCTCTCACCCACACACACACACACACACACACACACAGCTCAGAGTGGAAGAAAGAAATGGCTAGATAGCTGATGATGGCTGCACCTTACATGAAAGCTTTGTGAGTAACCAACAGCTGTATGACAGCTGACGTAAAACCAAAGATCGGATCGGATCAATAAAGCTCTATATAGCCGATTCTGAAATTACGCAGTGCAAGACAGGAGGCAGACTCTGTGTTTACATAGATGATGCTTGGTGCTCTAACGCTGTCAACTTTTTATGTGAAGGTGAAACCATATAATCATCATTATCTTGTTGCTGCTGTTTACATTCCCACACATTCAAAAAATGCACTACCGAATTATTTCCTGGGTGTATATGTATATAATTAATATTTATATAATCTTTTGTTGTATTGATTTTATGTTAATCTAATGTCATTTCTTGTTCTGTTTTATTTTTATTATTAGAGACAAGATTAGATCAGATGATCAATCGGATGACTGATTGAGTTTTCTCTCAGATTTTATCAGCGGATAAATGACAATGACTTGTGGCTGCTAGCTAACTAGCTATTCACAGTGAAGCACTGACATTGGGTTATTGTGCTAGACTAGTTTGATTTTTACAACAGAGATACTGTTGGGGAATCCTCGGTACCTAGAAAAACGTTACTGTAGAAGAAACGGTACCGTCAAGTTGTCAAAATTTTGGTATTGACTCGGTACCGAAGTATTGGTTCTTGTGACATCCCTAGTATCAGCAAGTACCCAAACGTAAGTACTTGGATGTTGTCTGAGAAAAAGTGGTATCTGTGCATGCATATTATCAACATACCATTTCCGCATGAAGTTAGGGATGAACTATAACAGTCTGTTTGAAATTTTTACTCCTTGAACACGTGCCTGTGTTGGTGGAAGAGTGGTGCACAGGAAGACTTTTCAAAGGGAAAATGTAATGAGTAGATAAATATTTGCAGAAAAATTAGCATAAACATTTTTGCCCACTCATTAGAGTAAACTGAATAGCATTCACAGCATTAGCTCTCTTTGCAAAGATGATCAAAATAGTTGCATTCCTGTTTTGTCTAGCTTTGCACTCCACTGCGTGTGACACATTTTCAGAGACGCGATCATGTGCTGTAGCCTCAAGCGCACACTGTGGAGAATATGTAGAACAACCACAGCTGAAGATCTGTGGGAAATCCTTCTGGAGTTTGGTTTGTTTTTGGTTACACACACTTTCGCTTTGCTCTCTGTGGTGTCTTTACGTCCGATGTCTTCCAGACTAAGACTGTACTCTCAACAAATACAGCCTTTTCACTTCACATTTCCTTAGGACTGCACAGGGCTCTCAAGTTCACTAACCTTTAATAAATAAACATACACTGGAGATATCACATTGACATCAAAGTATATAACTTAAGTCTAGCATGAGGCAGTAGTTTGAGAAATAACTGAATAAAATGGCTTCTTCTCATCAAATAAGTTTGGAGTTGTTTTAAAGAATTGTTGTTTTCCATTGCTGTATGTTATCTGTGTAATGCCAACTGGTCTGATACACTGAATGCAAGTAGCTGCACAAATAATAAAGCAGTTTAATGACAAAGTGCATATGTTAAACTCCACTGTAATTTGTCATATTATAGATTATTCCTCCATGTGTTGTTTATAAGTGAGTGTTAGTGCTTGTTTATGTGTTAAATGCAAATTTAAAGAGGAGGGGATGCATAAAATATTAATTCAGTAGCACAGTTTCAGAGAATAATTAAAAAGCCCTTACTATTCACTAGATTAAAAAATGTACTTTACTTTCAGGCCTCTATGAATCAGGCACTGTAATTACTGAACTAACTTACCTGGCTGTGTGACAGTAAAAGGTACAGTTAATTATCATCAAGGCTGAGCTAATGTCTCTCAGTATTCTCTCTAAACTAAAGATTTAACTATATTATCTGTTCATATAATTCATTTACGTGTGTTTATTGTTTAGTACAATCTGACTGTTTAGTACAATGACTTTTCATATTGTATGGTCCCTGTGTTTGCTGAATGTTGCTGTTTAAAGAATCTAAAATTTTGTTTGGTTTCCCCAGGAACAGCATTATGCCTATAGGTGTCCAACAACAGGCAACATGAGTTAAAAATGTTCTGACAACGTTTTATTTATGAATTCCAAGATAAATACTCACCTTCTTGATTCCCTCTGACGGGCTGGAGACAGAGTTCTCAAAGCCTTTGTTCTTGTTGATGGTCTTCCAGAGTTCAGCGAATGTGTTGTCCTGCTCCAGAGGGTTGGTGCCTTTGGCCTGGAAATAATCGTACACGGCCGAGTCCCTGACTGTCCCATAAACCAGGTCCACCTGCTTGGACAGGTCCTGGAACGACCTATAGTCAGGGTCACATTAGAGAGTTGGTTTTACTAGATTTGATAGAAGACTGTGATTGGAAAAACAAAAATAAAAAATTCAAAGTGACAATGATTTTCTTTGACTAAGCCTTTACAGGAGAACATTTCAGTTTGTCTCATGTAAAGAACTATGATAATATGGCTATTTTGGAAGAACATACATACAAAAACTGATGCATCTGCAGAGGATATTAAAGGGCAAATTAACCATTTCCCCTCCCCCTTTTTAAATGTGAGCTATAGTCAGATACATAATAGTAGAGATTTAGTTCTTGAGTTTTAAATTAATAATCAACATTTGGTGTGTTTATTAAGCAGTCGGTTATTATTTTTTAAAAGATATATATATAATCTATTTAAACTTAAACAGCTTTTTTTCTTGTACTAATCTTTTATGAGACATCAGTTTGAGAGCCCATCAGGTTTCTTATCCAGCGCTTTAATTTTCAGTACTGGGGATCGCTTTTGTTTGTATTTGGATCACATCTCTATTTATTTTTCTACACATATGATGCAAAAAAATCACTGACTCAGGCAACACTTTTGTATACACAAACACAGGACAAAACCAACTTCTGCCTCTATGAATTACAGTTGTGTGCATTTCACAACAAATAGTATGAGTATTCTTTTCATACTTAATTATTAACAGTGGACAATGTGGATAAAATCATCAATTACAGTATATATAACTTGATATTGTAAAAGCAATACATAAAGTGATCAATCTTCTGCTAAGTCAGCTAATATATACACCGATCAGCCATAACATTATGAGCACTAACTGAATTATCTGGTTATCATGGCTCCTGTCAGTAAGTGGGATATATTAGGCAGAAAGTGAACACTTTTTCCTCAAAGTTTGTGTTAGAAGCAGGAAAAATGGGCAGCGTGAGGATTTGAGATGGCTAGACGACTGCGTCAGAGCATCTTCAAACTGCAGCTCTTGTCGGGTGTTCCCGGTCTGCAGTGGTCAGTACCTATCAAAAGTGGTCAAAAGAAGGAAAAAAGGTGAACTGGAGACAGGGTCATGGGCGCCTGGTCCGACCCAACAGACGAGCTCCTGTAGCTCAAACTGCTATAAAAGTTAATGTTGGTTCTGATAGAAAGGTGTAAGAACACACAGTGCATCACAGTTTGATGTGTATGGGGCTGCTTAACATTATATATATATATATATATATATATATAATATGTTATGGCTGCTCGTTCATCACGACAGGAATGTCTTTCATCAAAATAGGGAATTTATGGTTCTATTGCACAGTATATGTACTCCAACACTCATTTCCTCCTTCATTCATTACCTCTTTTCTTATATTCTTTCATATACAGAATTTTCTATTTAAAATTTGACTCCCACCTGCTTACTTCATCCAATCTGTAAGCCTCAATCTACCACCACCTTCTCTTATGCACATTGGAGCAAATCACTAATCAGCGTGCTCTTTATAGAGCAAATTAGCTGCACCTGTAGCATTTTGCATACTGCTTCTGATGTCCATGGCAACAGTTTACTCAGCAAGATGGTTCCAACCAGATTCACAGTAATGATGACCAGGTTTGGAGGTAAAGTTGCTGACCAATTATGGGGTTCATTCCCATGATTGGGCATTAGCCCCTAATGGAGTCTGCACCAAACTCTAATCTACTTTTTATGAACAATACTTTATATCTGAGAACTAGTCTCTCCTGATTAAAATGCTTATTATGCAGATGCCATGTGGGCAATAAGAAATGAGTCTCCTTGCAGCAGCTGTATTTTATATGTGGAGATTATTGCCAATTTTGTACAGCATCATATTTGCGGAATGCCAATGTCCTCGTAATTAAAGTTTGCTTCCAGTGTAATTTGAATGGCAATCTACGCAGAAGATTACCTAATTCCTTGACTGGTATTGGGTTGATATGTACGACATGCTGCTCTGTGTATTTGCTGCATTCCTTTAGAAAATCACAATATTAGAGTTGCACCAGAATGTTTATATAACGAAGAGTGTCTTCTCACCAATTCCCTAAAAAGTGAGAAAATCGAATGGCTTATCTCCAGATGATGATATTGCACTAATTCAGCCATTTAATTAGAGGCCTATATGGTGTAGCAGTGGTTGTTTTTTTCTTTTTTTTTCTTTAGTGGGGGTGAGAGAGTAAGAAACAACTGATTACATATTGCATGGCCTGTAGCTTATTCTGTCAGATTAACCCTTCAGCTTTATTGCAACTAGTAAAATTTTCTCACTTTTATGTAACTACACAAGCACCCACAGTGGCTATAGATTTGAGATAAATACCACAGTATAAATATTTAGATCCACCAGCTGGACTGAATATAATAAATACGTAGTAATAAGACTTGAAAGCCCCTGTATTGTACAAAAAAATATACGGAATATATGGAACCACGGATGTGATAATATCAGCCAATGACTATTTGATTATTTGATATATTTGATTTGACTATATGTACACTGTAAGCAATTGCTGTAAATTTACAGCCAGTTTTCAACACTAAAATACTGTTTTCATGTTTAACAGTGTAGTACTGTAGTTAGCAATGCATTGTGGGCTTCTTAACTTGGAGCAACAGGACAGAGGCCGTAAACAGTATGCTGATGTTTTAAATTACAGGACACTACAGTATTTTTTGGAAATTTTCCAGAAGAGGACGGCAGGACGCACAATTTAGCGGACATGTGCTACATATCACAGGTCTTCATCACCATCATTCCGGTCTTGCATCTACAAAATTAAACGGTAAGTTAATTAAAATCTTATTTTCTTTGTTTAATCTTGGTCTTCATCCGAGGAGCAGCACCTGTTAACGAGAGGCCAACATCGGCAGATGGAAAATAGCATTAGGCTACTGGAATAATTATATCTTGCCCGGTGGTTAACGATTTATTTCAACATCGCCTAGAGATAGTTTTGGTGAGTTTTATTTTGTTTGTGTCGACTTTTATTGAAGTGTGTTTTACAATGAGCTAACGGAATTCAGCTAGTTCGGTTTGTCCATGTGTTGTTTTGACAGTCTGGCATTGCCACATTAAGCCACAAGAGAACTGGTATTATTAACTTTATAAGCATTAGCTTGGAGGGTATATTGTACATTCCTGATTGTATAATATTTGTTTGTTATTGTTTGACAGTGGCAACACTGGAATAATGCTACAGAAGAACAGCGACTAACAAACTGATGGTCATCTCTCCTGGATCCGCAAGATTTGAATCAGGGCCGTTCACACCCACCCAGACTCCCACCGGAACTAAGATGTAAAAACACAAACCTACCTCACAGGACTATTTTAAGAAGTTAATTGCGAGTCGCAAGCTTGCATTGGCACAGGTTCCTATTACAGTTTCTTCCCTAAATGTTGTTTTTGATCCATATTATTGATGCATATTATCAAAATGTTCTAACTCTACTGTAATAGTTTCAAAATGGCCTTAATGCACTTTTTCAAAATGTTCTTACATTTGTAAATGTTGTCAATTCTGCATATTCTGCATTTTCACAGACAGCAGAAAATGCATTGCAGATTACATAATGTAAATCTTTTAAGTTGAGTTTTGAGGAAATTTTAATCCAACTCACAGGACTATTTTTTAGTTTTATGTGTTTCAAAATTCTCTTACTGTTGTATATTTTTGCTGGCAGCAGTTTATTGCAGTAAATTCTGAGATTGTATTTTAAATGGGTTTTTGCAAGAACATAAGCATACCTCACAGGAAAGGTTAAACTCTTATTTCCTCTGTATTTGTTGTGTTGGTCTTTTTATATGACCCATTGTATTATCGAACAAGTGTTCAAACTTATGTGTTAAAGACAATATTAAATAATATTGACATTGGCCCAAAAAATGAGCTATAGGTCATGCCCTGACAAGCAGGTTATGCTCTGACAAGCAATTTAAGAATTTAAGTTTATCGCCATAGTCTAAGCATCACACTGTTTCTGTTTGCTACTCGAAATCTCTTCTCAGCGTCATCCAACAGGGTTTATTTTCTTTTTTTCCATTTTTTGAAAGTAGCAGTATTCCTTATTCATGTTGATATTGCCTTTTGAAATAAATGATTTTGATTCTCTCTAAGTTTTTATTGCTTATTTTGCACAATATTCACAAAAATGCTTAAGCAATTGTCTATAGCCCTGAGAATAATGAAGTTCTAATATTGATTGCATTTAAGACTAATATTTTAGGAAACTGCTAAATTGAGTTATTGTATTATCTACTGTGTCTGTCTACAGTAAACTAAGAAGTTATAGTAACAAGTAAAACAGAATATTATTGTAATTTTCAAATAATCATAGAAATATGCTGCCTTTTTTTTTTTTTTTTACTGTATTAGACTGTAAAATCATTTAACAGTTTGAATACAGAAATATACTGTATTTCTGGTTTACAGACTACTACTGTAAAGTCAATTTACAGTATGAATACCGTAAAAAAACGGTATATTGCTGGCATCCCTGCTGCCAGCACTTTACTGTTATTTTACAGGAAAATTATTTACAGTGTACTAAGAACATCTGTCATCCTTTTTAAGTACTTTTTCTTGTTTGCTTTTGTAACATATACTTTGATTAGTGAATACAGAGGTTCAACCCAGCCTGTTCATTAGCTATAATGGCAGAACCAAGACCCCTCACACACACATTGTTCTCTCCCCCTTTGCAATGCACTACCACACAGGCACATGATTGTAAAGAATATTCTATTCTTCTTATGTGTGCTTGTGACTAATTGCCCATTAAGGTGTTCTTGTTGAAATCAAAGCCGCTAAATGGCTGACTGCACAGTTGGTCATGGTTATATTTATCTATATAAATGTGAAAATTGGCCAAAGCAGCAACAATTAAAACAACATTAAAAACAAAAGAGTTCAGTCAAGGAGTTCACCCAATTACTATTAATATTGTCCTGAAGGACAAAAAAACATTATAAAACAAATCTGACTTTCTGTCTGTTTTGCTCCCTCTCTCACTCCTTCAAGAGAGAAACATAAAATAGTTTTACTTTGCAGTGTGGTGGGAAAAAAGAACATTGTTTCACCTCTGTGTCCTAAAGCGTAGGATTTGTGTAGAGGCTTATTTACAGAGAGAGCAAACAAAAGGGGAAAAAAGCTGTGTAGTCTTTAAAGAAATGTTCAAATATGTAAATGTTGGCTTAAGAAACCATGCTATTTCCAACAAATTCATTAATCGTTGCATTTACAACCCCAATTAACGTGTCATGCACGCACATTCAGAAACACACAGGCACACAAAGTGCACACTCCATGGGAAGCATGCTCACATACATACTATAAAAGAAGTGCATATAGTCTCTTTTGGCACTAGTAAAAACCCTTTTGGCAGTATCAGTGTCAGTAACTGACTTTTGGAAGTTAATTTCTCCAAGAATAAAAAAAACAAGTTGACTTTAAAATGAAGGGAGCTGGACTGCACCTCGCACCTATTTTTTTTTATCAATTAGGTCATATTCCTCAGAATCTTTCCAAGGTTTGAGAGGTTAAGAGAAACGTGTTTTTTGGGGAAAGCTGATTCAGTGTCTTCTGGAAAATGTCGATTTCTTTGCCATGTAATATTGGAAAGCAATTTTCATTTTACAAGTATGCTCATGCATGACTAAAGACTGCATACAGGGAAAATAACAGCTGAGCCGCTAGATGTAAGATGTGAGATAATTACAGAGCAATGATTCCATCTAAAGCCTGCATAAGTCTATATAAGTCTAGCGTCACTTCTACCACTGCTAAAGTTAATATTAGTAAGCTATGCTTTCAAACTAAGCATGGTTACTAAGCATCACCTGGGGCAGGGGAGAAAAAATGTAGACATAGTTTGTTTCCCAGGGCAAATTTCCCATCTAGTATCTTTATATACCTCCAGTGGTTCAAGAATGGTACAAAAGCAGCTGCCACCCTTAAAGGACTTTCATTCCAGTTCTGACAGAAAAAGGCTAAATTTCCATTTTTGCTGACCTTGAGGTGTATCTGTGAAAATGACGCAAAGGCACGTCAAGCACAACTCAGGTCTTAGAGGTCTCAATTAGTGTTTGTAGAACTACAACGTCTAACCACGGACAGTGATTCATTTTAAAAAGCTGAAGATATAGGCAAACTGTGGGGTAATCCAGAGATGCCCACTTTTTGATTAACATTAATTTAATAATAGAAAATCAATCATTGATATTCCAGACAGATTTTCCACTTTGATTGTGGGCAATGGCAGGACCCATTATCTCGTTAAGGATGTTGAAACAGTAAGTGGACAGGCAAAAACCCACAAGAAAGTTTGAAAAGAACGGCCAGTTTTTCATTAAGTCAAATAACTCCCAATCTCGAGGTTAGATCTGAGGTGTTATTTCTTCTGTCTCTGTAATAAAAAGAAGCAATCACTTCCCAACACTTTGCCGGTCAGATGTAACACCCAGCATACACAGTTTAAATTTTTTTGGGGAAAGAAATTATCTGATCCATCCAAAATGTTAATTAACTTGTCCCTCAATATGCCAATGCCATTTTTTTTGGTCTCTGTCTTGGTTCAGATGTTACAGGGCAGACTTAACTACTAACAAGTTATAGCCAAAGATTGTGCATAAATGTGTTCACAGAAAGTTTTATTTTTAGCAGTGTATTTACTCGCACAGATTATGTAATTGATCAGTTGCTGCGTTCATTTGAATGCACTGCTGCTAAGTAAGACCTGATGCCGGGTAATTTAAGAGGTATCTTACATACATGTCAGGAGAGGGATTAAATGCAAAAGAAACCTCTGTCCTACCTTAGCTTGCAATGCTGGTTGAAGTAACCAATAAACATATTTTGGAATTGCAATAATTTGCTCTTCTTCTCGCAATAAGGAAAGCTATACTGTTATAGGCTATTAAAGTAAAAACATTTTGTATCATAGGAGGCAGTTCCTATGCAGTTCTTACATTCTCCTCTAACACAGCGTGTGCTTAGTGTAGGTGAATAATTTTGTTTTGGTATGTATTTCCTACAGCTATTTGGCACAATTAATTTCATGAAAGTTTCATAAAGTAGTTACAACTAAGAACAGCAATGTAGGAACAGGTGCAGCACGGGATTGTTAAAATTTAAAATTTGGTCACAGTGTTCTTTCCCCTACCTTCTAACTTAAATACAATCATTTGCGTTTGATTCAGATTTTAAACTGACATTACAATTTTTACAGTGTAATTGCCAATTGCCAATTGCCACACACACACACACACACACACACACACACACACACACACACACACACAGTCTCTTCACAGGTGTGTGTGTGCTACTTAGCATTCACTCCCTCTCGTCACATGTCCACATGTGGCTATTTGTTCAACAGAAGACGGACCCAATGCAATCAAATGCCTCTCTGCCCATTCTTTGGGGAGAGACAGCACACCAAATTGGATTCACTGACAAATAGCATTTGGACTGAGGACAGGCTAGTTGTTAGGCAGCGGGTCAAAAATTACAGACAAGCAGACAAACCAAACACTCCGTACCAATTGCAGCTGATGAGAGATCACAGATATAGTTAAAGTATTGAAAAATATACGGTATGTTACCTCAAAAAACACCACACACTGTGTACAGAATAACAAAACGTCTGTATGTGTTTTCAATGAGAAATACCTTACTATAGTAGACATATCTCAAGAGATATATACACACAGATTCATTCAAGGCAGAATGATTACATGAAAGCATGCAGAAGCTTTAAAGAGGAAATCAAAGTCTGTTAACAGGTCTGGGGGAGTACTACTTAAGATATGGAAATGCGTATGAAGGTGAATGAAGTCTTCTATGGTTTCAGAGGGAGCTGCATGAAATCTGATGAATTGCCTCAAGTGATGTAATTTGAGTCGGCGTCAGTTGGGGCTTAAGACTACAAGTTTGAAAGTGAACTATATCTTTGGGTATGGAGTTAGAAAGAAGTGAGTTACCAGACTTCTGTAACCCCCTCCTCATCTTTGCTTAAGGCTAGAAGTTCGAGTCTACATTGGCTGCTAAAGACATAACACACCCAAATGTCTGACTAAATGGAGGGAGGGTTGAATTGTGGGTAATTTAATTTGAGTGCCAGGTTTTAACAGGTAAGAAAAATGCAAAACTGGTGAAGTACTCTTATCAAGGTTGTTCATGTTCTTAAATTTGAGAAAATACACTGGTATTTTTAAAGAGTCTCCTTGTATTATATATTTAGATGGATCAGTTACTTTGATTGAAAATACTGAACACATAAAATCACAAATTTGCTGTGATGGTAACAAATCGGTTATTTCTCAAAGCATTAATTTAATTTCTGTAGTTCGAACAACTCCAAAGCAGATTGCTTCACTTCAATTTCAGGAGTCTCTTTACTCCAGTTAAACTTTCCTTAATGTCACATCAATCATTTCAGGACTTTCAGAGTTCAGAATCTCGTGAAAAATAACGTGTATCAAATTGAGAAAGCTACGTCTGTTGTTTTAATGTGTCAGATACATATTTAATCAACGTTTAAGGAATCAGCTACCTCTGCACTCATTGTGTATGACTGGAGTCTTCCACATGCTGGCCAGGCAGGTATTGCTTAAGCTACTGAGCTAGTTGCACAAGAATGTATAGTTCCACCTGCATCAGTGTGCAGTGCTAAACAAAGCAAGAAAAGAAAGATAGAAGTACAAAAGGCTAGAAAACAAAAAGTTTGAATAAAGCAACAGATCAAACCAGAGTCAACATTGGTGTGTCTCTTCAATGATGGAGTGAACTGAGTAACAGGGAGTTATCTGGTTTGTTCTGGGGGAATTTGTTATTTTCCTCAACTATGTAGTATGTAGAATTATGTACGACATGAGGTAGTTGTCTCTCCAGCAGTAGTCAGGCACTGCGTTCATGTGTTCATGCGTGTTGGGCTTTGGAGGGAGATCTGAGGGGAGAGGGTGAGATTTATTTTTTTTTTTTTCGGTTGGATACTGTCAAAACATTACCGTCTCTTCCTAGTTTCTCCAATGTTACCTACCCTAGCTTTAACAGTGCATTTTGTTCACAGAACATACTATTCACAGTAAATAAGAATCATAACATAAAAAAATCGCACCAGCAATAGTAGAGACTCCACAAGAAGAGAATCAAGTGTATCTGAGTTACACCAGTGTGATGGAAAATTAAAGTATTGTGCCTTACCGAACAGCATTGTCCATACGTGACACGGTGAGGTAGGCAGCTAGGTTTGCTGTGTAGGACGAACACACAATGAGGGTGAAGAGCCACCAGCTGCCCATGACGATACGCAGAGCCACCGATCCCAGGATGGAGTCACTGCCTGTGGAGGTGTTGTAAAGCATCACATTATTTATCACTACACATGATATAATGCAGCTATCCTTTATCCCAAATCTAGTGTAAATACCAAAAAATAATATGCACTGTAATTCCATTAAGCAACACATTTTATATGTCATACATCTGATGTAGAAGGGAGTGAGTACGATGCAATGATGCCAACGTTTTATTATAATAATCAGGGTCTTGTCACTGATTGTATTGTTTCAGTTAGTGTTTATATAATAAGAGAGCCAAGAAAATAAAGGCTTCTTATCTTGATAGTATGTAACAAGCTTTTAGGAGATTAGTCAACTTGACAAGAAAACAGACACCAACATTTCTGTGTTTCTATTAAGTGAATTGATCTGGTTATGCTACAATGTAGTCATACTCCATCATCAAAAAGGGATGCAAGTCTTTATGCATGTTAACAATAATATAAGGATGCTTATTAATTTGTGTTAAAGCTGATAATCTCTCACTTTTGAGATAATACCCATATTTGCATGTAACACTGGATCTGTCTGCTATATGCACATTATGAATTTGTGTAATTACTGTAAGTTTCCCTCACTTATTTTCCCAAGAGCTTAGTGTATTCAAAACCATCTACCCTGTAATGTTACTTGCACACTTTTATATATATATATATATATTCTATTACACATCCCACATCATTTTTTTCAAGGAGCATAGTGCTCATTAATATTCATTCTTCATCCTGTCTTTTTAACATTATTTCCTTCATGTCTTTAATCCTTTGCCCTTTCTTGTTTTCTTTGAGGAGAAAAGACTGGTTCGTCACATTAGCTTTTCCATCTTCACTTTTTCATTGTCATACTGACTCTTTCTCTCCAAATATCCAACAGCTTATGAGGTGCATGAGAAAAATGTCAGCACACATTCTAATTCTGAGGAGTAAAGCCATAGAAATGTCATCTGAAAGATTCAGGAGTGTGAAATGTAATGAAAACATATTTGTCTGAAAGTGTCACAATCAACACAGCTGCGCCCTTAGGACAGCTTAGGAAAAAAACTGAAGGCCTTGTCAGATGCATAGCACTCCGGCATCAGTCATTTTTATTACATATGGCTTTGACTGATTTCTTAAGGTCATTGAATGTGAAATGTGCATTATGAAACTTTACTGGATCTTACTGTCCACTGCGGTGCAGTCTCTTTCATCTTTAAAACAAATTGATTGAAATCTCTCATCGTAAGTAATCACTGTTATTTTCATCAGTTCTCCTAGACAGTTTCTGATCATTTCCTACCTCTCCCTGACCTCATTATAGAACAAAGGAATGTTTGAAAACTGCAGCAAAAAAGGCGGTCATTGTGTCGCTGGGTGGATAGTTTAATCTGCATTGAACATATAACAAAACACAGCCAAGTGTTGGTATATCATTATGAAATCATTGGGGGGATACAGTTGCCAAGTTTATGCTCTCTGACAATGGCACACTGCACCAGCAGTCAGATCCACATCAAAGTGACCTACGTCATCCTAAGAAATAATGCAATCCACTTGACTGAAACAAAAAATGGCAACGTTGGAACGTGAGCCAGAAATGTAGAGAAAAAAATGGAAGCAGAAAAAAGACATAGAATTTAGCTTCTCTTGAAATATAGTGGGTGTCGGGTTAAAAAAAGGCTCAAAGGCAGTGTGCCAGACTTTGATAGATGCAGTTCAGGCTTTAACATCAGTTGCTGAAGTAGTCATTTATCCAAACTGGACATACCTGGATCTCCACCAGACCTAAAGATGGGATGTTCTCCTTGACAAGGGCACCTTTAGAAAAATGCTAGGGTGGGCGTTGTGCCTCAAACTGACTCACAACTGAATCAGCACTTGCTTGTATACTGACATCCACATATGCATTTTCATTGATTGGACTTTTTATTTTAATCTTCTATTCTTAATCCCTTGAAGTAGTTTTAGTGTTTTTTCTTCCCTTTTGTTCTGCTTAGATTTAGGCTTTCACATTTAAAGGGCCAGTGTGTAGGGTTAAGTGACATGTAGCAGTGAGACTGCAGATTACAACCCCCTCACATCACTCCAAGCATGTAGGAGACACCGCCGCAAAAATGAAAGGCATAAACAACAGCCAATGTTTGGTTTTCCACTCTTGGCTACTGTAGAAACATGGCAATTCTGCATGGTGGCCTCCATGGAAGAGGACACACTCTTTGTGTTGATAAAAACAGCTCATTCGAAGGTGACAAAGACATGATTCTTATTTTAAGGTGATTTAATACTAATGAAAACATACCTACGAATATTATATAGAGTTTTTGTCAATAGGTCCTCCTCAGTGTTACACACTGGGCCTTTAAGAACTGTACCACTGAAGATCAAGAGCAGGCAGGTTATTCATTCAACCCTGACCTTTTCAGATAACATACCTTGAAACAGTGAAGTTGACAAGAGGTTGGTCTATGATTGGGTGGAATGCCTAGCCTTGGCCCTCCATTATATGACAAATACATAATTTGAACCTGCTGCCCTTGCATCTTGTGAAGGCTAGACTCAAAACATATGACCAACCTTGTTGCACAAAAGCACCATACACAATCCAGATGGCGCTCTGAAGCGAAGTGGAGACGGAAGGTGGTGGATGGCCTCCTGCATTGTTTTGGCAGCGCACTGCCTGGATGCGCCTGAGCAGGAAGATCATGATGCCCACCACAGGGATGGCTGCGGCAATACATGCCCACACTGCCAGGTCAAATGGTGCCAGCAAAGAGAAAATGTTGATCTTTTCCTCTGACTTGCGCATCAGGATTCCCACTGAATAGTCCAGGTAGCGCTTGCTGAAATCCACCACACTCTCACGCTCCGGAGTGATTGTAATGGCTGATATGGCCAAGTCAGCTCGCTGTGGATGGAGAGTCATATGTTCTCATTTTAGTAACTTAACTTAATAACATGCCTTTTTAACACAGCAGTATTGATTTAAGCCTGTATTATGTTGTTAGAACTTGAAAAAGAATCTGACATCTGACCTCCATGTTTCGAAACCTTTTAAAATTGTGTCTGAATTAAAATACTCCCCAGAGAAAGAAACCTACTTTTGGTGACCCTGTGACCTTTTGTTCTTGTGTCTTGTGACCTCTTGTGACCTATCATTATTTAACGTGGAAACCCTGTGTCTTTTTCTCTAGAAACACCATCAGACCAAACAATGGTCATATCTGCTAAGGTACAATTTTATGGAAATTTGGTGTGCGCATATTCATTCTCAATAAGAAAAACCCTATTGATTTTGGTAAAACTGGTAATACTTTTCTTACTTTTAAGAACCACCATCTGTTCACATTTTCTATTTTAAAATACACATATTTCTTGGCTCCCTACTCAGACAGATAATTTCTCTGTGCACCTCTGTGCTCTTAACAAGAAGAAAACCTTTTCATTTTCTGACACAATGATCTTTCATCATTATTAAACCAAACTTTTCCTTTCCTTTATATAACTATTCTGTCATCTACCCAGAACATTGTTGACTTTGAAGCTAATAACCAGGGAGATCATTAGACCTTTATTGAGGTTTGAACTCAGGAGTCTGTATTATTTCCACTCCCAATTTATCTGGCTATTTTATGCTGAAAATGATCAATTATCAATGAATGTAATATGGTTTGTCTGAGGAAACATAACTCATGTTTGATAAAGTCTGTTTCTTCTAAACAGAAAACATCAGTCGCTAATAGTCATTTCAGTAAACACATGCTGGAACTAGAGACAGTAATCACATTAGGATTTGTTGTGTTTAACACCACATTGTTCAGTGAGACTGCATGTGCCTTACAGTAATAAAATGTCTGAAATTCTCAAAAGAAACATGAGTCATCTTTATGAACCGTAACAGCCTTTGTAAAGTTCTCAAACTTTATCAGTGTCCCTCCAAAAAACAGAAATCAGACCAAGTTCAATCAATCTGTGATGTGATCCACTGGAGAAAACCGATTTGCAGATAGAGGCTGTTGGCCCATACATTGTTTATCTAATCTCCTCACTTTACTGAGCCTTATAATTGGGCTCCCATTTCAAAATAAGACAATGTGGCTCGAATCCCAGAAAAAATTATTTGGAGTAAAATCTAAACATGATTGACTGAGATAAAAAAACAAAACACATCAACCTTGCCAATGAGTTCTCCAATCATGCCATTCCAGGATCCATTAGGGAGTGCTGAGCCGTACTTCCCATCTCCAACTTGGTAGATGTCATATTTGAAACCCAGGATCTTGGCCAGGGCGTCCAGGACATCAATCGAGAAACCTTTGTATCTCTTGGGTTGGCCCAAAATATTCTCTGCCACCATCACAAAAGGCTCTTCCTGTTTAAATGAAATTTGTACAACTGGTTAAAAGAGTTTCTGGATAAGACAGACTGACAGTGATAATGTTGAGAAATGTGAATGTGTGTGGGTTTTGTCTCTAAGCCCGCGATTTACCCTTAAACTCTGGAAAAGAGTAGAGTATGTGTACTTAATCACAGGCGTGTCATTTATCAAGATGCACCATAATCTCCTCGGGGGCCAGATTGGCGACTGAGACGAGGACACAGTCAGTCATCTTAAGAACTTTGGGGTGACACCTTTATGAAGAGCTTCTAAGGTGATCTAGGTTAAACTTCATCTTAATAAAATAGTTTCCTCAGCAACTGTTGACCTGTAACACATGGCGCCATGGCAACTACTATGGTTCATCAACGTTGAAATTGCCATTTTAAATTTATTGCACCCCACCGTGGTTCTTCTTTATGGGTTGAAAGTGTCAGGGCAGAATTAAATGGGTGAGGGAGGAGCAAAGAGAGCTAAAGAAGACAGGGAGAGAGGGACAGAGAAGAGAAGGGGGGATGTTAAAGAGGGCAGAGGCAAATGACTTGATTAAGTGACACTGCCAGGGGACAGCTGAGCAGAACTTATGTGAATAAATATGGTGTAAGTAAATCATGTGTGAAGAAGAGGAAAAACGAAGAGAGGGGGAGGAAAAGTTACTGAGGGGCAGGAGGAGGGGAGTGATTTTAGTTTAGCGGTCGACCGATATGGGTTTTTCAATGGCTGATGCCAATATATATAGTGAGCAGAGCTGCCAATGGCTGAAATATAATGAAAAACAAAGAAAAGAAGGATGAATGAGATTTATAGTACAGAGCTCGAAACCAACTTTTCCCACCACCTCCCTCACAAGGAGCAGCACTGAAAAAGCAGCCTGCAGATGTGTCTGAAGACATTTTTTGTTTGCGTTGGCTGACTCCAATTATCTCCAAATGCTAGATAATTGGCCTGATTAATTGTCCGATCGATTAATCAGTCTGTCGCTACTTTGTCTTCTAGAATTGGTGGAGTTAGTGGAAGAACAGCTGCTGCAACGTAGAGTTGATTTTTAGTGGCCTTCTGTTCCTCTACATCCACAGGTTGAGATGGAGAGAGAAAACTCAGCAACTGTGAGCAAACAGTGTAAAGTAGATTAGACGAGTTCTAGTTCTCCAAGATCCTGTGTTGTCCTTGTTGGTTCTCTATCCTAACTGAACCCAGCAGAAACTAGAAAAGAAGACTTTATTTAGATTTTGTATATTACAGTAGATTATTAAATTAAATAAACATTTTATTTACCTCAGCTCAGGTACCAAATAAGCTTTTTCTTAAGAAGGGCTATTATTAGAGACAGGACTTAATTTGCCATGTATTCAAGAAGACAAGATGCTTTTAAATGCAAACTCATTGTTTTGTGAAACATCCGCAGGAAATGTTGAGTGTCATTAACATTGAGAAAACAAGGAAAAGTAGGATTAATCAAAATAAATTCACAGTATTATGTTTGACTATTAAACAGAGAATATTGCTTAGTCTGTGGGTGTAAAGAACAACCTCATAAATGTGTTGATGTGTTTCCTCTATACTGTGGTGTTTGTTTTCTTACTCAGATATTTGCCTACTTAGGTCAGGTGTTAATAGATTCAGCGTACTCCCACAACTTACCAGTAATGTTACAATCTTGAGCGTCACTCCCTGCATACCGCTCTCTATCCGATTCTCCTTTAGGCTACCGTTCAGACCACGAGTGGAGTCCCAAGATGCCAGCTAATGGGGAGAAACAAAAATCAGATACATGTGGAAAAGAGATATAACTATAAAAATAGAGCAGGTCTCTGAAAGACAAAGGCAGCAAACACCTCATTAATACATCTATCACCAATGTAAATAATCTATGAATACTGTGCTACTGAGCTATAAGAAAAGGCATCATCCAATCTACCATTTTGTGACTCAATTTGCTGTGATACTCAAACTGATTGGCCAATGTCTGTCAACATCTGAGCTGGTTACCAAGACAACAAGTGTCTATCATTAGCATGCTATTAGGACTCTTTAATCAAGCTTCAACACAATACTGCAATTTATTAGCACACTTTGTAAGCAATCTACACTATACTTTACCAGTAATCAAACAGATAAGGGTGGTGATGATAATGAGGATGACGACGACAATGAGAGGAAGGAGAGGGAGGAAAAGTACAATGTTATATAAATAGGGCCTTAAGTAGACGTCATGCTCTTCATGTAAAAACTGCAGAATAAGAACCAAGTAATTTAAATTTCAGACACGTTACACATCAGCTTGAGTTTGTTTCTTGAATCTATCTCTCATAAAACTCTTCCACTCTGTCAATGTTTTGAGCTATGTCTCAAGTTGCGAAGCTGATGTTTGTTCAATTCTTAATCAGTGCTGCTAGCCGGACAAGGATTCTGGAGGATCTGACACATTATTTGGAGTAGTCTATGAGATTTGAGCTGACAGGACAAGAATGGTGGCCGGAGGCCAAACAGGCCTTTCTGGCCACAGCACTGCCTAGTCTACAACACACGTGCCCCATCGGCAGGAGACTTGTCCAGATACCTTTCCCACAGAAACACACTGTACTCCACAACAATGATTATCAGTAAGCTTTTAAAGGTCTGCAAATTGCATTTTTTAGTTTTATTAAATTAAATGACTTCAATGTCAATGTGTTGTGTGCATGTTGGATGTATAGCAACTACATTTTTACAATTTCTGTTACATTTATTTCATTAAATATAACCAGATAACATATTTCAATACAACCATTTATTAAATGAAAAACCTTGTGAAACCATTTGTGTAGATGATACCTCTGTGAAGCACTCAGCTTGAGTTCAAACTGGGTCATTTCTGACTAGGAGAAACTGCACACACTGCCACTCATTCTGGCACAATAACATCCAGCTGAATCTTAATAGGCAGCTTATATGACTCACTTTCGTCAGTGAGGGAAGGTTTATAAAAAATGCTAAAAGGACTTGGCCCTCGAAGAGATGGCATTACACATTTCACTCGATACTAAGTCGAAAAAAGGTACCAGAAATAAAACCAGTGAACAGGAGTAGAGATATTTTTATACTTCAAGATTTCATCACAAGTCCTGCACTTAACTTTGAACTCTAGTCTCATGTAATATTGAGGTTCCTTTGCTATTTTACTTGCCCTGACATAGACTGTTTGGTTTGGTGTATGGAAACACACAAAAAAGCATGTTGTCTTAACGTTTTTAATGATATGATTTTGTACTCTTGTGATGTTCCAGTTGGCTACCAGTCGAGATTGATGAGAAAAAAACAAAATGAACAAACATAAATCTCTGTCACTGACACTATTTGCAAAGGCAAACGATTATACAATCAGGAAAAACAACAATTACTACTCATACACAAGGCAGCAACAAAGGCTTTCAGCTGTGAATGAAATAGAAGCATGTGAGGCTTGCAAAAATAGGGGCTTGTAACAACTTCAGAAGGATATTTCATTATTAGTTAATTCGTTCTTCACAAACCATCTGCAGACCAGATACTCTCTCAGTCTTAAAACTTACACTGCATTGCTATGTATAGCTCCACCGCAAACTGCTAGTGAATCATGTTTATAACCCGCCAGCTTGTGTGGGTGTATATAAACTGTTTTCTCCCCATGCAGGATGTCACTCATGAAATATGCCTTCTAAGGGTCTTTATCTAAACACTGTGTGCATGTCAACGATATGGAGATCAGTTGTTCACGCAGCTGTTCATTGTAAATATAATATAGGGTTATGCAGTATGTATTTACATGTGTTTGCTGCACTACACTTTGCTCAGAAAAATGTGAAATAAGATTGTAGATGGGACAGTAGGTCTTAAGCCATATGTGTACAATTCTGTAGGCAAGTACTGCACAATCTAATTGTAATAGTCTACTTGTTAATCTGTTTGCAGATGTATGCGACTTGTCCAGCCTGTGTGTTTGTGTGTGTTGGGGCAAAATGTCAGTCTGCATTGCCTGCTTCACAGGGGACTATTTTCTCCATGAGCAGCTTCGTCCTCTGAGAAAAACACTGAGCAATCTCTGCTCTGTAAACTGAAGAACACTAAAGACGAACACTTCTACTTCACAGAGCTTTGCACACTAACACGCCACTGGGAAGGTCACAAACACTACATACAGCAAAGCCGCACCACCTGCATATGAATGAGTCACTGTGATCTTTGATTACCAGCTTTGAAAATTTAATTTGTGGATGATGAATTGTTTTACTATCAAATGTCAATGATTTATTCAGGTAACTTCCTCTGACAAACCCCGACCCCCCGGAAAATAAACATGCCAAAACATGTGATTGTAGATTTTCATGGACATAATGCTGACACAAGATGCATACTTCTACTGAGTAAGGATGCATTAAAGAAAGATATGCTTAACGATGCATGAAAAAAATAAATGCCAAATCTCTTTTCTGCTGCTTTCTTTGAAGTGTCAGCTCATTGAGGATTTAAGTTTTAGATAGTATTCCTATAAATATGCATAGCAATCAGTCACCAAGAGTGTCAGTTGTTTCCTTCTCTAACAAAAGGTATATGCTTTGTTTTTATCCTACAGGCACAAAGGAGAATATCGAGCTAATGAGATTTTGAAATATCCAATTTAAAAAGTCGCACAAATAACAGGACCACTATTTAGTTAATGTGTATGATGCTCAATACCATAAAATAATCATCTGTAATGGGGCTGAGTAAATGCCAATGACCACTTGAAAATGACAAAGGGATAGAAGTCAAATAGGACTGGATTCATAGCGCCATAACTGTCTCAATTACAGTAGCTCCTAAAAATTTTATAGAAAGCAGTCAGTTCCTTTTCAGAGAACCGTTTAAACTGCATCATTTTGGATGTTGAACCATAGTTTAAGGTAGTTGCTGCTATTCTGCTTTTCCTTTCCCCCTGCAGTCCGACAGGTGCTTATATATCGACAAGCCCATCATGCTACCGAGCTTCTTATTGACCCACACTCCTTTGTGTGACTCACCAAGTGGATCAACAAAGACTGTGCATGCCTACTGAACCAACTGTTATTCTTAGTAAATGTACCCTATACGTTAATAAATACGCCTGTATATGGCTTCAACCATGTGAGCATATAATGTCTGTACAATTGTATTTAGAGCTTGTTTAGTTTTTATGTTCCACTTTGCGTCCTCCATCCCAGAGAAAAAGACTGGAATGATGCCGGCTGTGTTATCTCTTATCACCAGGACACAGCGAAAAATAAGCCGACCATTTAAATTAGTCAAGACAAGAGACATCTTATCTGTCCTGATATGCTAGAGATGAGCTGGGCCGACATGGCGCCAGTCTATCACTCTAACCTCTAATAAGCAACATGAGGCAGGATTCACTTTATAAAACTGTCAGAAAAAGTCAGTCTGAAATACTTGGAAGAGAAATGAGCAAAAGGCAAACATGAGGGGGGAAAATGAAGTGAGTGTATTCTTCTATCAACATAAAATCACACAGAGAAAAAGCAATAAGAAAACTTAGGCTCTGAGCTCTCAATGATCACATTTTTTCCTGTTTTCCTTCAATCCTGCATTTACTTACTTACTATACAATGTGTTATCTTAGAGAAAATACTAGGCACAGTATCTGTATCAGTAGTTAGATCTGTGCAGTATACAGCAGGCAGAGTTTTCCTTCATCCTCTGTTTCAGTGTAAATTATTATGTTGCTTAAAAAAGACTGCGTACAAGAAAGGAATCTGTAGGCTCATTGCAGTATAGGCTTCAGACATGTTAATGGAGCAGTGTGGATGATTTATTGGTATCTAGTGATGTAGTTGCAGACTGCAACTCCCTCGCTTCACCCTCCCCTTCCAAGTGTGAAAGAGAAACTACAGTTACCGCTAAAAATGAGAACGGCCCTATCTACAGCCATCGTTTGGTTTGTCCGTTTAGGTCAACCATAGAAAAAGGTCAACATACCGGACTCGATGGAAGGTGACCTGTGGCATCTGTAGATAAAACCGTCTCATTCTTGTGTAAAGAAAACACAACAATTCTTACTTTCAGGTGATTATACACTAATGGAAACACATGTATCAATATAATGTTCCATTTCTGCCAATGGATCCTCTAAATGTTACACACTGGACCATTAAAGCTAACATATGACAGTGAGAACGATGCAAACTTGCCAGTTATTATAAAACTGTGAATTACTGAATCTGCTTTCAACTCATCATATCCACTTATGAACTGAAAATGTTTTTTTAATTCACCTCATGAAGTGAGAGCAACAAAGAGCAGGTCCTGTAGGGGATGCGCATTTCAATGAACTGGATGGTTGTAAGATTGGTAACATTTGTTCAATATTGTTTTTATGATGGACTGGAGCACATGAGAAAGAATACATTTAGGGACATGGAGAAATATGCACTTTTCATCCAATAATTTTAAACTCTGAAGAGGATTTACTTTTGTCAGTGTGGCAGTAGGGACAACCAGAAGGGGGGACTGTCCGTTTAACACTTTCCTTTTAAAGGGGAACTTGGCAACTCTAGCCATTTTTGCATTTGTTGCCGGGCAACCTTTTCGTGTGGAGCAATCTCTACCGAGGTGGGTAATACATTCATCGTTGCTTGTTCTTATAGCTGGCGTGGCTAACTGGTATTGAGGGGGGCGTGTGCGTTTATGTGGAATTGCCATAAAGCAGTTCGTGTTTCTCGCTCGTTCTCGCTTCTCACGATACTTCCTATTTCCAACTTAACGGGACGGTAGTCCCAAAGTTGCAGGATTGGTTTTCCGGCCGAGGGACGCTAGGGGGAGTGGGGAAAGTCACCATTAACACTGGAACAGGCCATTTAACCATCGAAATAATTTCTAAACGGGTTTATTAAGTTGAAATAGTTGCCAAATTCCCCTTTAATGCATAGTGAAAATGCAGTTATCAGTATTATAATGTTGCAAAATTATAATGTTGCTGTGATTTACTTACGGCATACTTGACCAATCTGATATCATGTCCCTCACTGCTAAATTGGATATGGTTATAGGAGCTTTGATTCATTTTATTGATGCTGAGTGTCGACTGGGGAATTCCAGCATTTCAGCAGGTGTCTGGCACTGCTTCCCGTGGCTTGTGATGGAATTAAATAAAAAAAAACACCCTAATCATCACTTTAGAGATGGGTAATTATCTAATGATAGCACAGATACAGCAAAATAATCTGTATAAATATACCAATACTATACTATGGTGTAAATTTGTAAAATACAGTAATGATTATATTGTTTTCTTGATGATAGTTTGGCTTGTGAAATATTAGAAATATGAATACATGTACTACCGTTATACGAAACAATGTTCTTCATCTTCCTGCAGGTGAAAATCTAAGCAGGCAGGAGAGGTTTCAAAATCCCTACTGGAGCCAGAACATTTCTAAAAGCTGGAAATCTCAGTTCCTGGCAAATTAATCATTGGATCAACAGCCCTATCAACCCCCTGCAGATCTATTGTTGGCGAGGGAGAAGCACCCTTCAGAGAGTATTCAATGCCATTTCTGCTTCATGAGCCAGTGAGAAATAGGTTTGAGCATTAGGACAAATACATCAGCTATAAATGACTAGGGTTTGGTACATGCAACAAACATAGGGGCACATGGAGCTCATGTAACCTCCACCCCCACTGCCAAAAACATCAACTGTTACTGGTTGAAGGTGTGATGATGTCCAATAAGAGTCATCCAAGATCATCAAACCTCCATGGCCGATTGCAACCAATTGTGAGCACACCTGGCTCTGTTTGGACACCAGAGGACAAAATAAGAGCTGGCTATGGTCAATACATTTGGCTAGGTTTTGGGGTTATGGAGGGTGAGGATCAGCTCCAGTTAACTCTACCTGGGCTAGCATTGGGCCAGTGTTAGCAAACCAGATTTGGATTGATGTACTTTTGCTGATTCTGGTGTGTTATTCTTCAAATCTGGCTACTGGAGGTGCCACATTTAGACTGCTGATAACAAAGCAATTTTGGCTACCTGAGATGATGAAATGGAAGGATATATGTGATGAGAAAAATGGCAGACTCCTTTCAACTGAAAGCATTGAAACACATTGAGCCACCACAACGTTAAAGTTTCCTTTAACTTATCTGAGACTGTGTTTCACTTCCTCTATTTCTAGGGCTAATTGTGACATGTCTCAGGCAAACATGCCATACTGTTTATTATTTCCAGCACAGGTTATGCTATTTAGCAATGTCATCATATGGCAAGTGAGTGGTAATATTTATGAATTATAAAAATTGTACTTTGACACATTTTTAACCACAAAATTGAATGAGGAGTATTTGAAGTTGCCCCTTTCAGTTAGGGTAATCTTTTTTTGCTATAAAATAGAACAAATCTCACTAAAAATGATTTTGAATAATACAGTAATGCCAGCGCTGTTACTGTGCACACATTTGAGAGATAACTACTGCATGATGCATGCAAGATGCTTGGCTAGAAGGAACAATTACATTCAAATGAACTGACTTTTCTCTATGAAGAGCTTCGTGTAAGCTGGAAGTCATTAGCAATATCTGCTAAGAGACGAGCTGACACATCAATAAGAGCAAACTGGGAAAGCAAAACAACAACAACAATAGCATCGATCACTCTGCAGCAGCACTGGATGGTGGAGAAAACTCACAGTAGCCATCCAGGAAATAGTATTTCAGTCTTCATTACAGTTTCTAACCAGAAAGACGCCTCATCTAAGAGCCATCAGGCTGGGGAGAAAATGGACTGAATGCAGATAAACGATGATGGAGAGGGAGGACCATGGCTGAGAAATGGGGAAAGGGTTAGGGAGGAATAGAGTGGAGTGGCTAGGATGGGGAGAATGGGAGATGAAATGGAAGGAAGAGATAGAAGAGAGACGAGAAGAGGACAAAATGAGGATTGCTCTAAGGGGTGGATATGGGTCTGTGGGTGGATCTCACTGTTATACTCCACTTGAAAAAACACAGTGACATGGTATTACAGTACATTGCAGAGGAAATTGTGTGTGGTGTCTGTCATCAAAAGCCACGCCATGTTTTACACAATGCAGGGTATGAAACATGCTGAATGTATATAGAAACATCCTATTATGGAAAAACAGAAAGGAGTGCATGAATTTGCCTGTTTTCTCACAGTAAATGGTTCTGCCAAGTAGTGGGCAGACATACAGATAGACATGCCAGGTAATGAACAAGAGCACTGAATGCATTTGGCATCCTATTATCTGGCCTTGCTGTCCCCTTCTGCCTCTAATGATTTTGAGATACAAGCGCCCACATGTTAGTGTGCTCCCTGGCCTCTGTTGTCTGTTCGCCTGGCTGCATGCTCTTAGTGTCTGAGATCCAGAACAGCATGTACAATACACGTTTGTGTGTGAATGTACTAAGGGTCTCTGCTGTTTGTGTGCATCACGCTGTGTCTAAATGTGTGATGCTGCTGGTGGACATGAAAGTGCATGTATGTTCCTGTGTATGCGCGTAAACACATGGCACTGCATGTAGTGCATCTCTTCTGAGCTAATGCTAATGGCCACATTATGATGAATTGGCTTCATGATTTCAGTTAGGCTGAGTGGTGATTAAATCTTCATTACCGCTTCTGGTCAGTCCTGCTCTACATAGATTGCCAAGAAACTCAATTCCTCTTCATTCTGCAAGAAGCCCCTGACTGAATCAGGACATCCACAGCGACAAACAAATTACAGCTAAGAGAAGAGTGCACAAATAATGCTCTCAATCTCTCACTTCAGCTCTGAAACCCTCAAAGATGAAACAAGTTTCTCATTAAAGACTTCTCATTAAAGACTTCACGCTCAGCTCATATAGCATCCATGTTATTTTTTAACACATGTAAAATGTCTTTGCTCAACACATAACCGCAGGTCAAACATACTGTGACTACTAGTCAAAGGCAAAGTGGTATGTTTTGTTTGTGAGTACAGTTAATAACAAGAAGAACACACTTTGTTTATTTTAACTCTGAGGTCATGAAACGAACAAGCCAGTACACAGTTGGTGTAGTGAAATGGAAGATTATAGCAGATTGATCTGATTAATTCGGGAGCTCCAGTAGAGGGCACCCTCATACCTGACACCTCACTGCCCTGTGACCGTGGTTCTCAGGGATCAGAGTACAGCTGATTTTCAACTCTACCAATAAGTTAATTGCATTCATCTGACATCCAAGAAAATAACCCAGATCCAACCCAGCAAGTTTTTGGATCCTGAAGGTTAAGATGGAGAACCAGTTGTCTATGAAAAAATAGCACATTCAAAAACAATAGACAGTTGGAAGCCTTTCTATACAGTATTTGTTCTTATTAGGCACTCCAGTCAACCCCCAGGATTTCTAGTAGAATTGACACTTAATTCTGATCCTCAAGGAAAGGTGTCCTGCAGGTTTTTCTACTTCCCTGGTAGTAAATCAGCCACACTTGGTATGTACTGGATAATTAACTATTAGAGTATAACTAAAACCTGCAGGACACCAGTTCTTGAGGACTGAAATTGAGTGCCTAAACTTAAGAGGTTGTAGGGGGCCTTGAGAAAATGAGAAATAGTTTAATTTCACTTTTATTTCTTTCCTCACACAGTAAGTGGTCACACTGAGACAATGTCTAAGAGAAAAGCTATTTTCATCAGTGATTTAACAGTACCTGCTGTTTCCTCAACACCTACAGAATGGACAGTTATATAAGTCTGCAAGATAACATCTACCAACTAAATCTTCTAAAATAAAGTTCTATGCAACTCTGATCGATTGGTCTGTGGTGTAAAGCGTACAGTATATAACCTCGGACATGGCACAATTGCTTAACTATGTGAAATGAGAAAGGTAGGACACCCTGCTGCGGCATGTATATTGCTTACAAAAGGCAAAGCTACATGGTTATTTCTGACATACTGAAATGAGAGAAAAAATTGTGTACTGAATCTTTGAGTTACTGTAGACTAAGGTAAATCATAATTTTCATAGTAATCTACTTTAAGTTTTTATGTAAAACATCAAAATATAGACAGTAAGGGTCCTTTGAGCAGTCTTTCACAGAGGAGTAGACAATTTATATAAAATATTCTAGACTGACCCGTTTGACATCTTTTCCAAATGTCTCACTGTAGCTGGTTCCAAGAATCTCAAATTGCACATGGGAATTAGAGCCTTCAGCACGGAAGTCCATCAATCCTGTGAGGCCACTGATCCGTCCCTGTAGCAACAACAAGAAGAAAATGGTTACTGCGTGAGATGCCACAACACAGGAGAGGTAGTAGTATTGATTGTGAATGTTTTCTTTTATTTCTGTCGGTTCTGTAGGTGTCTGCAAAAGAAAATAGCCTACAAGCATTAGTACATAGAACTCTTTTTCACATCATACTTTTCATTACAGTTTAGTAAAATGAGATGTTTGCATAGATTTAATTAACTTTCCCCTAATAATATAATATATATCAAAGCATACCATACATGAAAAATTTGAGCTAATAAAGCTAAGCTACACCCTTAGTAGCATTTTACCTAATTGTGACATTTTACAGTCATCAAGGGTAAGTTTTCACTGTTGTTGGCCATTAACTGCACCATATCATTTTTGCAAATGATCCCTTTAATCATACACTTAAACTATGTGTCATTCAATCAGCCTTTTAGGTACCAGTATGAGGTTATCAAAGAGAATTTAGATCATTTCAGAAAATGGTGTCTTGTAAAATCACCTTTTATGACTCATTCTGGTACAGTTTTGAAATAAGTCCAAACTAACATGAATCAAATCAATTTAAGTTATTTTACAGTTCAGTTTGAATTACACCAACACAACAATATGATGAGAATGCCCCCTTCTTTGTTGTTCTTCATGCCCCGCTTGGTCATCTAATGTCACACTTGAGATTAAACCAGCGTGACTTTTCTGCAACAATGAAAAATTCCATTATCAGATTGAAATGGATCAAATCAAGCCACTTTGTAGGATGTGCAGCCTTATAATCGCTGCCACACGTAAGCTTGGAGGGGGATCATGCGTTTGGCCGTGTGTCTCCGTGTGTGTATCTGTCCTCAGCTTTTCTCACACACTACTGGACCCGTCATCCTAATATTTTTCTGCACATTTATGACTGTATGCTCAAAGACCTCTCGTGGTTGCGGCCAAACTGTTGACAGTATGAACAGCAAAAATCACATGGAATCTGATCTTTTCAAATGAAAAAAGTGGCCGAAATCAGATCCTTGTTTTCACTACATGGTACCACTCGACTGTAATCTACTTTTGGTACCTCTACTTCATTCCCCACTGTAGATAGTACTTTGGACAGTACCCCATCAACACAGGCAGAGCTGATCGACATAGCGAAGCAGTTGGGAAACAACAGGGAGCTTTACTATGGTCTTGAGAAGCTGCAGCCTTTATTCCCTGACAAACTGTAACCTGCACTGTATATTTACTGCCATTTACTGCCAGATTGACAACTGCTCTCTTTTACTCTGTACTGCTCAGATTCACTACTCTCACTCCCTATTACTCACCCACACATCAACTACACACACAAAAAGGAGCTTCTACTCTTATAACAAAGGCTAGGATGGCGTTCTTGATACGTCTGCACTTTGTCAATTGACCACAGCTTGGTTTTTCTGGGCTGCCATTTTGAGTGAATAAAAAAATGGTGGTTGTTATTGATGGTATGTGGGGTTTGTGCAGGATGTCTCATGTTTCACGATCAATCAGTTGTCTGCTTTCACCTTTTAGTATCAGCTTAGCTCGCTTAGAACCTTGTCCAAGGTAGTACCAGGTACAATCCATAATGGAAAACCAAAAAAGAGCAAGTAGACTTGAGTCAAGTTGAGCTGTACTATGCGGTGGAAAAGTGGCTTAAAATAACTGAGAAGGTTATACAAGCATAAAGAGATCAAAGCCCAGAATCTGCCACAAATCCATCCTGAAGCCCAACCTGGGGACCAGTTTTAATAATCAATTTAGTTGAGGCCACTTTAAAAAGAACTGGATTTGAATCTGATAGGAGTCTCTAGCAGGCATCATACTGGTCATATGATACTACACCCATGATAGAATTTTGCAAAGAATTCAGCATTTCTTTCAAAATAGAAAAATGCAAAGCAACAGCTATGTTCAGCAAAAAAAAACTTCAAGCTCAAATACCTTTTGAATGGTGTCTAGCATAGACCACCCTCCATTCCATGGCTTGGTGGACTTCCTCATGCAGTTAAGGCTGGCCATACTGTGCCACTTCCTGTCCTCCAGTTTCCTGTAGAAGGCGTTGGCCAGCATCAGAACACTATCATACAGGTAGAGGTTGGACACCTGTTGCGGGAAAAATGAGCTATTTTAATAAATGCATTCTAGGATTTTGTTGTTATTGTTTGTGCTATGCAACACAATGCAAACTCTGGATACAACAAATATAATGAACATTAGTTTTTATGGCTGCAAGAAATGCCACATAGCCCCATAGTGAACCCTTGTAAAAGAAGCATTTACACAAAAGCACTTGTCTTTCTGTCTAGACTTGTGAAGTTGGATGGTGAAAAAACATTCTCAGTGGCAAATAAAAGCTTGTCTCCTCGCTTGAAGAAGGGAATGGGAAGCATGGGGACAACTGGTGAGCATTTTCTTGGACAATGTAATGGGTGCTGTTTGGTGTGGAGATGAAGACCCAGCAGCAACCTTGCTCCGACTGTTCACATGTTCACACTTGCAAGAAACGTTCTGGTGAAGCACTGAGGTTGATTTGCTGAGCAATCATGGGATTGCACCACCTGCATCAAGTGAAATGATACGCACAGTAAAACCCTTACAAAAGGTAAAAGTAATGATCGAGTACAGTGGTGTGATCTAAAATTGTGAGAGAGAGGCAAACAAAAATAAATACAGGTTCATTTATTTCATTTCATTTCAGAGCCGCAATCTGTCCAACTGTCTCCCTCCAACTGCTGTGCACCCTGTCAGAAATCATGTCTACTGCCTCCTGTCTTGGTGTGACAGTGGATTTGATAAGTCCTCTGGGTCAAATAAAGTCAAGTCAAATCCTCCCCTAGCAGAAGATCCATGGAGGCAATACTAGCTGCCACTCCAGGCATTCAGCTTATGACACCTTTAGACTTCAGCCTCTCAGTGGTAAGACATCAACCAAGTCAAGTTCACTTACCTCAAGGTCACTCAGTCAGAAGCTGAGTAGCTCTGGATATCTGAGGTCACACAACAGCTGATGGGTTGTGAAAGGGATTAGTACAGGAAAGCACTTGTATCTCCCCTCCAGTGTTTAACTATTCTGATGAATGCTTAAACTGCCATTATCCGATATTTAACCCTCTTTCATGTGAATTATTGAGAACTGTGGGTGCACACACCACATGGTTTTGCCATCTGTCCGGAGTATGGATGAAAAGGAAAATGAACATTTCAATAGAGCTACAGGGAACACAGCCATTGCACTCCAGATGGATTGAGCAAAAGAAAAGTCTAAGAGGAGTAAGGAGGCAATCTTAACTCACCATAGAAAGTGTGAAGTGGCAGGGTGAGCAAGGTTAGTATGAAGACCCAAAGAAGATTGTGTTGCATGGATAACAAAACTGGGATGGTGCTAAAGGGCATATCTTCATTTATTGCCCCCCATTGTCATGCTGAATTTACCTAGGGTTGGGTTCCTGGTTGACCAATCCTTAATGCAATGGAAGCCTTTGTTAAGCTCCTGATATCTCAGTAGTTTATTTACAAATAATATACTGTTTGTAGCATTTGTACAAGTTGGGTATATGAAAAGTTCTAATTAATTGTGCACATTAATGAAATTAGCTTTAAAACAATATTTTACTCTGTCCTGCAAGTTACTCCCCGGTCACATTGAGCTCAAGTCATTTATATTCATGGTCATTCATGTCCCTCATAATTACCTTATCTAGGGAGCTTAATCTATATTCAGTTGCATACATAATCAGTTAATATTTGTCTTCATGTGGCACTTGGCAGATGCTAATCTATGCTGTCCTACACCATAGCTGCATGCATATGCTGTAGAAGTCATTACATTAAATATGAAAAATGTGTGATCAAGCAAAAAACAGAAAAAAAAAACACTTGTTTTATGGTTCTTTTACTCCAGCTGATTACAAGTGACCCTCCTGTTTGCTGCTGGAGAAAGTGGATGACAATTGTGGTTTGTTCCTCAAACACAAAGTTGCTGTCCTATAAATACTCGCAGCAAACGGAATAAAAGACAAGAAAGAAACAACACAACCTTGCCACTCAGCAAATACTCAGTACAGCCTCATCCATCATACGGTTTCCATCTTATGCTCTCACCATCCTCAAAGCTCAGATTCTCCTCTGAAAGTAGCTTATGTTGGTGAAGCTGTGACTGTTTGGACCAAAGTGCTCCAAAGCATTTGCATGGACAGTTGAGACTTTGGAGTGGTTTGAGAATTTTCTTTGATGTTTTGATACATTTTTGTGATTTGAAAAATTGTCAACACTGGAATCCATTGTGACTGACAGACTACAGCCCCTGTTTTCTGCGAATGTGAGGAAGCTTCCAACCTTTTAAAGCCACCTTTCAAGCCCACAGTGGGTGGTGACCCATTTGAATCTTAAAAGCAGGAATTTGAAATAAAATCCTTCCAAACAGTTGAAACAAAACATATCAGGTTTTTTTGTGTGTATAAACTAATAGTTATTATGTCTTTCGTGTTTTTTTGTCCAGTACATGATTTAAGGGCTATGCTTTTTAGTAAAATGTTCTTCATTTCTAATGAATTCACCTGGTATGATGAATATAAAAAAATGTTGGTTTGGTTTTTTTTTAATTTAATTTGTAAAACCTTGGTGGAAAAACAAACACATTCTTTGAAATGTAATGTGGGATATGTAAGAACTTATTTTCCTATCTTTGATGATTTAAAGGATTGTGGGAGGCATTTTTCATGTTTATTTTTCTTGTATCCATTGATTGCCTACCACCAGGAATATTTGAGTGCATATATATAGAGATATACAGTCCATAACAAATGGTTCTTAATATTCTCTCTTAATAAAATGATATAAAAAAGAGGTCAATATTTCAAGAGCTTTAACAGAAAATCTTTAAGCATTATTTGTACCTCCAGGGACTGCAGATAGCCTTCCTGCGGGTCACAGAGCAGGGAGGAGATGCGATGATTGTTCCTCATACAGCGAACGTTGGTGTCTCTCCACAATGGGAAGATTTGACGTATGATGGTCATCCGCCCCAGAGAACTGTGAACCAGCTCCATGATGTCTGCATCACTCACCTCCTGAAAATGAAGACAACAGGAAGGGTTTAGTATAGTCCATTTATTATAAGTGTAAAGAATAGTGCCAGTCTATTAATTTGTTTTTGAAAAGCAGTAGAAAATTTAATAAGAAATAAAACCTTGGAGGGGTTTGTGTTGGTTGTGTCTGCTACTTAAGCAATTAAAATATCAGATGACACGTTGGGGGGGTTACAGAGTAATTAGATACAAGACAAAGGGACCTAAAGTGAGGATACAAGTAAAATGGGGACAGCTATTAAGAAGCTAGAGTTTAAAATATCAACTTTTGTGCTCAACTTTATTTTGAGCAGTTTATTTTTGTGTTGCTGTTTGTTGAACATAAACCCTGTGTACATTAACATTGATCAACCAAAATTCACAGCTCATTTCTGTCCGGACGTTGGTTTATTCTGTACCTTGAATCAGCTGAGTCTGTTTTTAAGCCAAAAGACGCAGACAGAGACATTTTAACCACGTGTTATTTTTTTACATGTTAATTTCATCACCTTGGAAACCCGCTTATTTTGTTATTCACATTAGATTGACAAATCAATGGACATTTCAAGTATATCCTTCACAATAATAGTGCAGGTGACCCTTGGCCCTCTAGTGTGGAGGGTCAGATCAATATTCATGAGACACTGAGCTGCCTGCTGGTCTCTAGAGCTAGACAGTGGTCAATGCTGAGGCAGACAGTGAGTCTCTTGGGAAACGCAGGGTTCATATACTATCTGACAATAAAGCTATGAGGTTACTGTCGGGGTCAGACCTTAAGCAGCTCTGGGTCGGTATAATCCTTTACCGCACATGCCTGAATCCGTGCTCCCTCTCTGTTTTCCTAATCACACATTCTGATCTCTCCCTTTTGCATTGACCTCTCTGTTTTTACTGCTGTTCCTCTGTCCTCCCTCACTGTTACTTTCTCCTGGCTTCTGTCTTTGTATTGTGTCTTTCTCCTTTCCTCCAACTGTGGATTTCAATCCCTTATTGTCTTTCTTTTTAGGTATACCTTATTTCAGTTGACCGTCAATCTTACTTTTTCTCAAAACAGGCTTTCCCTTCCTTTTCTTTTTCTACCCATTTTCAATGCAAAACCACTTAATGATCTAAAGAAAGTGAACGATAATATGGATTCTGGATGGATTCTGTCTTTCACAGCCAGTATTCCCAGAACTTTTTTCTGTGTACAGCATGAGTAAAACACTCCTCAGGTGATTTTACCTCAGCTAGTTTTATCTTATGACTCCTTTTCTGAGTCTTCGCAGTCAGTCAGGTGGAAGGTATGAATATTCATGAGTTGCCTTGACACATTAATCAAATGAATTATGCGGCATGGTTCATGGAGCCGAACCCTCACGTCCAAGCTAATAACTTCCAGTGCCACCCTTTCCAAGTGTTCTGTCACAATCACGGGTGAAATTTTTGTCATAACCTGACCCGGCGAGGGCACTGACCGATGGGACATGGCTGACGAAATGCAGGCCTCTTAACCTCCTGTTTGAGGAGAAGGTACAGACCATTAAGTCAGAATTTGGACACACCCCTATGATATATTTCACTTCTACAGTATGCACACAAAAATTACCCATAGTGCATAAAGAATAAAACAGGTCATCTCGTGGATTTTAGGAGTACTAGAGAACACTTATGCTTGTCTCTCTACAATTATGTAACATCATACACTTTTAAACTCTACAGTAATCGCACAGGTTCAGGTGCTCCTTGGAGACAACCCACTCAAATTTCTGAAAAAGTGAATACAGCACAGCCATGTTTCAATGACAGCCGACGACCAAAATACATTAATCAAATCAAGTTCAAACAGATAGGCTAAATTATCCTCTTTGTGCTGCTCAGTCAATGTTATTAATCTTTCACTAGAAATAAATAAATAATTTTCCGGTAATAATGACAGCGATTTAATTAGAAGTTTAGGTGCTTTTTGAAGCTGCAGGCAACTAAATTGAGAAGTACTGTAATGGGAGTAAGAGAGGAAGAACAAAGCACAGTGGGTATGACATTCATTTGAGTTGTTCTTGCCTATAAACCACATACATGTCTTTTGTTATGTGCTTTCAGTTGAAAAAAAGCTAATTAGTTAGACAGACAATAACATCAAGATTATTTTATTATTCAGTTAATAGAGCCGGATAATTGGTGTCCTATTGTCCTTTTGCAATGGAAAAACAACCTAATTCAAACATCGAATAACACAAGGCATAAGCAGTTGCAGATTTGTGAGACTCTGACCTATATTATCTGAGTTGTAATTTTCAATATATCAACGCTTATAATAAATTGAAGCTTTCCTCTTACACAGCTCACAATAGAAATGATAACTCTCTGTAAATTATGCTAAATTGAAGGGTCTGGCAATTAAAACCAGTGCCATGTCCTATTCAGGTAGTGCTGTTGTGTTGAATATTGTTCATTAACTGAATCCAGAATAAAATAAATGACTCTTTTTGGTTGATATATTTTCTTGTGAGTAAGGACAAATACGACACATCATTCATGTTAAAAAACTGCACTATGCAAGTGTTAAATCAGACTAAGACTACATATATTATGAAAAACACTATTATACAGTATATTTGTGCTTCAGGTTACTGGGAAATTGCACAGACCTGCATTAGCAGTAGCTCAGGCCCTTTCTTTGATGATCATTTAATCCTCAAATTGGCATGTTATGCTAATGATGATTTAGCTATGGTTTTATTGGGCTTTATTAGTAATGCTCCTAAGCATTGCCAGTAAAAGGTGATTAGTAAAGTAAACTCATGACAGCTGATTTTATGGCACTATGTCACTTCACTAGAATTATTTCCCTGGTGATTTCTTATTATAATATATCCAATGGTGGATGCATCACTGTCAACTATGGCACTCCATAGGTTTATGGCCACTAGTGCAACCTGGCCTCATCAATTTTTTGCAGTTTTGGTGAGCAGATGTGGATGTAAAGAGGCTGAATAGGGATGAACACATTTCAGTCCGTCCATTTGCAATGATGTGACATTATTTTGTGAATATATAAGCAACAACTACAGTAGCATGTTACAATTCCAACTGTCTGTATAATTTATCAATTCATTAAAGCTACGTTCAGTAAATCACATTTACTTATATATTCATGACTCTAATACTTAAAATAGAAAAAAGAAAAACAATAGTCTGACCGCTCACAGTTCATGTTTGCCTGAAGTGGATGGACTTTAAATGAAACTGAAACAAAGGAAGGACCATTTGCAATAACATGTGGTTCGAGCAGGCGGAAACGCAACGTAATTTCATGCCATATTGCACCGAACCGTCCGATCAACACAACCATAGCTACGCAACTCTTGCCACGTCTGTGCAAGCCAGTTTGTTTTGAGGCAGAAATTCACCAACCAGCTGAAGTGCAAAAACATGGACTTTGACCTAAGAGGACAGCATTTGGCTAAGAGCCTAAATTGGAACAGGATATCTCAAATGAAATGACATGTAAATAATAACATTATTAAATTAATTGGTTTTCATTTTTGCTGTACAGTAGAACTGTGTGAGCCATCCTATTACATATCTCATTGTACATGAGTAAAGCATACAGAGTAGTATTTTGACGTCGGCTGGTGTTGATTTTATTGCTATGGAACTCACATTTAAGGCTGGAGGTGCAGTGGGAGTTATTTAATGTGTTTGCCCACTTAATAAGCCCTATGACATAAAATGACTGTAACTCTAACATTCAGATGAGGAGGTTAGTAACTGGATGTCTCCTGTGGTCAGCATTTGTGGGTTAGTACATCAGTTTGTGATATTTGATTTGGATTTCTGTGGTTCAAAGGATTATATAAGCAAAAACCCAGTTTTTTGATAAATGCTACTTTGAACTACTTTGAATAAGCAGTGAGATAATTGAAAATTTTCATATTTCTTTATCTTGTAAGAGGCCTCGTCAGTAATCCACCTTCTTGTCCCATAGTCTGGTTCGGCAGAGATTGCATCAGTAGAAAAGGGTTTCCATCTCAGTCGCTTGATGGGCAGTTACCCAAGACATCAGTCATATCATGACTGTCCTCCTCGACTCTGTCTGTCACAGCAGGCACAGCCACCTAATCCATCAAACATTCTGAGGTGTCACCGTCCCGCCTTTGAAGGGAAAAAAAACAACAACAAATCCTCCCAGAATGTGCAATCCATCTGAGTCCACTAGACAGTGTCAGATGCAGACAACCTTCTGTGTACTAGCAGATGCAGCACCGTGGTTTAGTGGGTGGTTTAGGGAGACGCACGCCTGCCTGTCATCTCAGTGCCCTCCTGCTCAAATCAAGTCCTGCAGCACTTCTTACACTCCAATTTTAAAGCTTTTCTCTTTTTTCCTAAAGATTATGCTGGACCCTGAGTCCTTGTGAACTGTGTGCCACTCAAACCCACTCCTTTGGTTTTAAAATGCATTAGTGTCAGTCTCAAACTAAAAATGTTTGCAACTGAAGAAAAGTTTGTTGAGAGAACTTTTTTTTTTTTTTTCATTAAAAGTGGGTCTCCACTTTTAATGTCTTCCAGGGCTCTGGATGGAATGTTGTCAAATCAAGGAAGTTCTATAGAAAAACCCTATGGGTTTCATTATGCGGGAAAAGTTTGTGTCTCTTGCAAGTCTCCTTACTTTTAATCCATGTGTGATTGATAATAACCTTAACATATTACTATAACTGCATTTATTTTTGAAATCTTTATACTCTAATGCAAGTGGAATGCCTATGACACCCCTGAATGAATAAAAAAACGTACTTATCCGGACATAGCATCTATATTCTGTTCTTTTTTGTTTATCTGTTAGTCCGTTACACCTCATATTTTTTCGACTTGTGATCATAGTTACTCATCATCATCATTTTCCCTCTCCATCAATCTCACTCTGCGCTCTTATCACATTTGTGGCTTGACAGCAACATTCATTGTGCCACACGTTGCCTGCTGGAGGCAGATTAGCATAACCACTTGTCGTGAGACTTGAATGAAATGCGAGACCTTGCTTTGTTTGTGTGGGGTGTAAAGGCTGGCAGAAGCCTGGGGAGTTGATGGGGTGGGCAGGCGACAGTAACCCTCTAGATCACCTGGTTAAAATGAATGTCACAACTCAGTCCTGACAAGGCAGTTGAATAGGAGCAACTGTCTGCAGGGACTGTTGGTGCATGCAGAGACAGGGGGTAACATGGAAAGCTGTTATTTCCCTGCAGGATTTTGTGATACAGCCGGACTGCATCTGGTCAGGCTAACAGGATTTCCATGAGTGCAGGCAACAGTTTCTAGTATATTATACCTGTAGGGCTGCCAGTACAGAATTCTATGAAAGGAGAGCGATTCATAGTTAGTTTGTGTTTATAAAATAACCTGTAAAAGATAATAAAATAGAAAAATACTAAAACTCTGAGAATCTTACCCTCATAGTCACTGTGTTTGTCTGCCTTCTCACGTGTTCAGATTAATTAAAAAACCTTGTGCACAATCTTTGTGCCATCAGCCATGTTAGAAGCTTCTCAGAAATCAGATCGCAGGGTAATAGAAACAAATTAGCTTTGTACCTTCCTTTAAATCTCCTGCCCCTTTAGAGATCGGCAAGAATAGTGAATACATCATTTGCAGTACATGCCTGTATGCAATTTACACAGGGACTCTTGTGGATAAAAGTATACAAATTTAAAAGGCTCTATGAGAAAAATAGGATCGAGTGACAGGTGGACCAGGTGCTCACAGTTTTCATGTTGTTTTTTTCCGTACATGAGAAGAATCCTGGAGGCCATGATAGTTGGCATGAGTAGTAACTGAATTTTCTTGTTAGCCTTTTAAACATGTCTGTGTTATTCTCATTTGAATGTGATTGTTAGTTTCATGGTCAATTTATCTTGGGTGATGAAATGAAAGGCAGAAGAATAGAGAGAGCATAAGCAAGGATGAACAAAAAATACATGAAATACCAGGGAACCAGGAAAAAACTCTTTGGTAAGAAAGCAAAAGAGTAAGAGGGGAGAGGAAAATGAAAATTGCATGTTGTGAGAAACAAAGGCAGAGAGGAAATACAATGGGGATATACCGTATTTCATAGTTCACAACCAGGCACATTCTTCCCCTTTAAATGTGTACCAGGGAGAGATAACTACAGTAAGCCACATCACATCAACCATTATGGGAGTGCCATAGAAATTAACATGCCATTAGTTCATACTTTCCCAGAGTCTGACGCAATTAAAGTTAATGTCTTGGTGAAGGTCTGTGGTAATTGAGTGAAAGGCACGCATGAGTTTGTGTGTGAATACGGCTTCAAATTAAGAATTGCAGTCCCGATCTCCTTTTTGGAGACATATAAACAAAATAATATGACTTAAGCTGCCAGACACAGACAAAAAAGTTTTAAAGAGCTCAAGGTCTCATTAGCCATAAATCAATGCCTCAGTGAAATGCACAGTGAAAATGATTTAAAACATAAAAGGTAGTTATTGTTATAAAAGCTCATTATAGACTGAAATGAGGTCATATGGGCTACCAGATAGCAGAAGGTTTTCAACATATTGAGCCTCATTAACTTTTGTAAATCAATAGTCAAGCGACTGAAATGCTGCACTATGAATTTCTAACTAAAGCATAAATGACACCTATTTTATATTTGGTATGTGCTGTGGCCAATATGTGTTTTCAACTTCTGTATCTTCTCTATGCTTTTGCTCCAGTATCTCAAAATGTATGTGAATGTTGCACATGGCTATCTGGGCTTCATACACACATTAATCACGCTCTATGGATTTTTATTATGGATCAATATGTGACATGTTTTATCTGTTGAACAGAGGTTCGGATGAACTGAGCAGGTGGCATTTCAATAAAATACATGGACATTGACGTATGCGTGTGTGTAAGACGGAGAGCATCTATTAGTCACAGCAATGCTAATATGCCAGGTAAATCAACTGGGAACAACCTTTTATCTAACGTCTTTCATCCACTGCTTTTAGTATCAGCCCAATCCTATGACCCCTCCAACCCCCCACCCCCCCATCTTCAAATCACTTTGAATCAATGGAAATGCAGCACTGAGGCATTAAAGCTAAAGACAGAGTCCACTGTTCTGTATTCACAAAGTGCACCTGCATTTTGTGCTGTTACAGCCACTTTAGGAGACCATTTAGGTCAATGTCAGACACACATACGAGTACAGAGAGGAAAGACACACTTATATCAACAGTTAAAGGGAGGGCAATTATACAATATCAAATAAAGGCCCAGTCCCTCAGGCAGCCCAGGTATAATAAAAACAAATGATGTGCTGCTAATCTAAGTGAATGTGAACTAGCACAGAGTGACAGTGCTATAGGTTTTCATGTGTTTGTGTGAGCCTTGGCAGCATATGAGACTCTGTGTTGACACTAAGGTCTAAATTCACTCGGGTGCATATAAGTATGTTTGTGTTTGGCCTCACCTCGTTGGCATAGACCCAGTGACTGTCCTTGGATGCCAGGTTGGTTTCCACAGCCTGCATTAATAAAAAGAGAAAAAAGAGGGAACAGACAAAGAGAGAAGGACATTTTAAGAACCTTGCATGAAATTCTTTGTGATCTTACAATTGTCCAAGCCAGGACCTCCTTGGGTATCTCTGGATCTTAATTTGTAAATCAAGACCTCAATCAATCCTGGTCTGAGAAAAAAACATCATGGGATGCATCAATATCACACTGCCTGGAGCATATTGGACAAACCAGCATTATAAATTATGCAATGGGCAGACCTGCTGTACACAAGCTGAATATTTTTAACTTTGGACGTGAGAAAGAAGCCTGAGTACAAATGCCCACTACTATAAGATTCATTAGCCATACGGATTTCACCTTACCTTATAAAATAGATTTTGAATGTGAAACCAGTGCCAGTCTTGGATATAAATCTGTCTGTGGCACTAGAGGGTCAGATCTGAAAATAACAAAATTACTAATGGCTTGACAAAATAACAAATTAGGTGTTAGGCTCAGATAGACTGACATATGTGCAACTGGCAGACAGTTTATCTATCACAGCTATCAAAATTATCAAAGTTACCTTATCTAAATAAAATGTGGTCACGATTTTAGTATTTATTTTGGAACCATACCTATTTACTGTAAGGACAGGCTCTGTGGTGAATGCACAGCTTTTCTTTATAAGCAACTAAATTTCTCCAGCAACACTTGTGAGACTACTGGGTTTCGGCTACTGGCCTTCACCAGGGTAATCTGAAGATGATGATGAAATGTTGGTCTGACAATAAAGTTTTGACCTCTTTTTCCCTTCTTCAAGAATTCATGCTCTGCTTCTACTGTTTGAATTTTAGTTTCTGTTTTTAGTCAGACATTGAAATGAATACAAGAAAACCTTGCGTAATATTCTCTCATTTCAACCCTGCTGCTCTGCACAGTGATACTTTCCCTATCTGAAGTCTTTGTCAGGCAAATGCACAGCAAAAAAAATCCACCTCTTTCTCCACCCCAATTACAGAAACAGGGTTTATTGTCTGCATGATGTTTAAGAAATCAGGTCACGGCAGTAATCTGGTTACTGAAGTGCAGGAAAATGTACTGGATGACCTAAAACTCAGCACAGATGAAAATAACCCCCATTGAAATTACCGTAAACGGTCCATCTCATTATGGACTTCTTCCACCTGTCACGAGAGTGCACACATTTGACATCTGTCATGCTTAATGTCTCAATGCATGCTCTCTCCTGCAAATTGCTATCATTACTGTCTAAATAAATCCGTTTCACACAAACCAATGAAGACTGATGTCTCAACATATAACAGACGGAACCCTGCTGCATTTTTACTCAACAACACCATGCTCATCAATAATAGCCGACGCAGAGCACAGCACCAAAAGCTGCCAATCGATCTTCTAACCTTGGAAGAGTCATGATTTGATTTTAATGCTCCTCTCATTCCAGATTGAGCTCATCAAACTGCAAGACGACCATACCAGTGCAAGAGCAATATTTACCACCATGGTTGAAATGCCGCGTCTCACGCTTAAAATTAAAGAGTGGGGCCATATGCCTTCAAAAATTGCCCTGAAATTCAGATGGATAGGCCAACACTATCAATGGATGCTATTAAACACCAGACAGATGCTAGACTAGACCTGTTGAAGATTTATGTAGTAAAAGTCACAGGGACTACCCTTCAGTCCTCACCAATGAAAGTTGATCAGTTCTTCTAATCTGTCTAAATGTGTGCTTTTGTGTTTGACAACAAGAATTCTGAGCAATATTTATTGTAAGCCATATTCAGCTCTTAATCTGAATTAGAGATCAGTGTACAAATTCGATCAATATCTTTATAGCACAGGAAAAGTACCACATTTCAAACTTGTCCATAGAGAGACTCATAGTTGGTGCACAGTGTGCTCTTCCATTCCAGCTATCAGAATACACATGGTCCATTTGATCCACATTGTCCACGATACACACCTAACTACATGGGCCTAAAATGAAAAACAATGATCATGTAGTACTTCAATCAAGGGTTGGATCTATTTATATAGAATGTTGGTCCTGTAGTTAATATTTTTATGTAATATGGGCATTTATTGTACTGCAAGTCACATTTAAAATATTATAAAAGTAGAGAAGAAAGGAAATATTTCACTAATGTGTTACACAACCCTGGGCCTGTGCATGCGTATGCGTAGGCTAGTGCTCAGAGTTGCAGGGACCACTTAAGGCAAAAGGAGAGTAAAAAGAAAGAGCAAGGGCGCCCAGTTAGCTCGGTTGGTAGAGCTGGTGACCCATATATGCAGCGGCCCAGGTTTGAATCTGATCTGCAGCCCCCCCGCTACATGCCACCTGCCCACCCCCAGCCGCCCCCCCTCCCCCCACCAAACAAAGGCATAAAGGCCAAAAAAAAATACTTTAAAAAGAAAAAGCAGAAGCACATACAGTAGAAAAAGGTAAAATGTTTACTCAGAATATTTTACTAAAAAGAACATTTTCTTTATAAATGTATCATATGTAAACATTATTGTTTTACTCTATTCACTATTTCAGTGGAAGTGGCCATGAAAAAATATCATCATTTTGCAAATGGTGTAAAGCAGATTTTTCACATGGATAATTTACATCCTTGAATAACACAATATTACTGTTTGCTTTGACAAGGGAAATAACTTGACACATTCTTTTATCAGTCAAATACTGTATGTGAAACTATGACCTCACAGACACAACGATTTACAGTGAACCTTTAGGTTAAAAGCAAAAGACCATTAAGGGGTTCCTGCAATCTGTATGAATGGAAAATATCAGCTAAATCCTTTCATGTGTGAGTAAGCCATTAATTCAAATTATGATAATGTCTCTCCAGTCCTAAATAAAATCTGACAATGAGAACTATTGTCTGCCTTGAAGAATAACCTTGACATTCAAGAGAGACGACAGCTCCTTGAGCTACATTCATTGTTCCAGATAAAATCTGTCAGATGCCATGATGGTAAAAACAAAGTCAAGTACTGTAGTGTGGGTTAGTTAATGTGCACCAGCTGGGATGCAATGTTTTGTTGAAGCTCTGGGCACAACAGAACTCCCCACTTGAGAGGTTCAGCCCCAGTTCACAGCACAACATAACACTGACAACTTTAGACACTCTAGAAATAAAGCCTTATTAAGATAAATTATGTTTGTGAGCTGCTGCTTAACCTCGCTGCTGTATGAATGTAACACACTGTGCAGAATACTGAAATGTTTGAGAGCTGCTCTAACAAACTGAAGACTGCTGAATTTATAGGTGATCAGGGCGAGGTCATTCACTGGCCACCGTTTTCATTTTCTCCAACATCAGTCTAAGAAAGTAAAACGTGAGAACAACTACTGCTTTGAATTTCAAGGGAATTAATAGATAGTCAAGTTAACAGAACACTTAATTAATATAATAAATTAACATTCAAAGCTTGTTTTGTTTCATCTCTAATTATGAGTTTGCCATAGTTCAGATAGTTCTTCATTCAAAATGTGAAATAAGATTTAAAATGAACAAAGCCTGGATGCTGTGATCTCAGAGATATCACAAAACATACCGTGCTTACAGTTCTTTAGGGAGTTGCTGATCAGGATTCAAAATGTGCTTCTCTTAAATACAAAAGCCTCTTGTGTCTCTGTACAATTCCCACATTATTTTGCCTAATCAGCCCTTTTCTAATCGCCCATAGTCCTATTTCAGTTGAACTAAGCCAGGGTTTTCCCCTTTGCTTAACATTTATCACACCAAAGCCTAAAAATCCATTTGAGACCTTAAATGTTATCAACATCCAGACAGAGTAATTTTTAGCTTTATGTGTATTCTTTCTTTCCATTCACTTCAGGAAATGATGTAACAGTGAAACTCTGGAGAGCAATGTGGTTTTGGAGAAGGATGCATGGACGAGAGCCTGGAGTGACATCTGAGGAATATTCTATACTATTCATACAGCCAAAGCCTGGCGACAGTAAGATCTCCAATCAGAGAGGCAAAGTACCCCAGGCATGTTCTTATACAGTAGCAATGCCACAAAGACAGCCAGAGATTGCCAACTCCAATTTAAAACCGTGACAGCTGAAAAGGGATTGAAAGGAATTGTGGTTAGAAGGATGTGAAAATAGGTGGGGGGAGGTTTAGGCAAGCCTCAGACGATTGAAGATACATCTCCAGAATTTGAAAAGATGAGCATGCTCAGTGTAAACTTATTCAATACAATTATTTGCTACCATACAAAATCATGTTTTAAATGTTTGAAAGCAAAGCCAATGTGGATTGTATACTCAGTTGCCAGTCTATTAGGTACACCAAGCAAAAGCTAATACAGTCTAATCCAACAGGCCTGCAATAAATCCCAATTTCATGAAGGTTATAATGTTAATTTTTTGTTGAAACTGTTTAAGAGAGGGGTTGAGTGTGTTTTAGTGACAGGTGTTTCTGTTATTTTGTCCACCCCATCAATGAGGTTAGGTTAAACAACAAATACAGCTCTTTGGGGATGCCCCAATCCGATCACAGAGATTCTTATTGGAGCCGATTAAGGCATTTTTTAACTGATCTGTATTGGCTATGTTGACTCAATCTGATACTTTGTTATACCTCAGCTGTCACAGAGGTGCTTTTTCCTCATGTAGCTTTCATACACACCAACGCAATAAGTGCAGCCATCATCAGTTCTCCAACTCCGCTTTGTGCTGCTCCTCCACCATGGGCAGGGGAAAGAAAAACACAGGTGGAGAGAGACGACACAAACACACCCACCACGCCACTGCAAGTGCAACAAAAGCCCTGCGAGCAAAAAACCCATAAGAGTAATTCACTAATGTAATCCATGTAAAAGATGTACAGACGAGGAAAATAAACACTCAACAGAAAACAATTCATTCAGGTAACTCTGCGCTGAAGCACACTGGGGAGAGGAACTCCCCCTACACAGTGATGAGGCCAAAAAGATTACAGAGAGGGTTTGTTATTTTATACTTTCTTATTTTGTAAAA